CTTAATAGGAAACTGAGGACAGATGGATCACAATGGAAATTATTAAAATCACAATAAGGTAAACATCCACATTTTAATAGTGTTCAGTAGAAGCCAATGTGAATTAACAAATGTTTGGCCGACAAACTCTGCAAAATGAAGTGGAGATGTACTTTTTTCCAGCTTAAACCAAATAACACATAAAACTGAAAATATATTGGAAGGGTTTTGTTTTGTGAAATGACTTTTATGTTCCTCAGTTCTGTTATTGCCATCTTTTAGGATTTACACCCAGCAGAACTTTGGACCATCAGGTTGAGAGAAAGGAGAGAAAGACAGGAGGGAGATGGATAAAACAAATGTACAAAAATGTTAACGTTTTGGGAATTTGAGTGGAGGGTATCTGAGAATTCTTTGTGCTATCCTTGTAACTTTTCTGTATGTCTGAAATGGTTATCAGAATGAAAAGTTACAAGAAAAACTTTGTAAATACTTTGCTTCAGAATTAGGAAAACATGATTAAAGTATAAAGACATGGCAGGCATTTAACAAAAGGAAAGTAGTATACGTAGTCTAGGAAAAGCAGAGTCGAGTGATTATAAAATATCCTTTGGGGTGGGGAAGGGATGCTCTGTTCAGTGAAAGTGCATATTCTGGTCTCTTTTACACATATATGCCTACAGTAAAAACCATATATATGATAATAGGGATAACACCATTCCAACTATAATAACCAAACAAACTTATAATAGCATTTTAAGCCCTGGCTGGTGTGGCCCAGTGGATTGAGTGCCAGCCTGCCAAACAAAATGTTGCCAGTTCGATTCCCAGTCAGGGCACAGGCCTGGGCTGTGGACCAGGTCCCCCAAATGGGGTCTTGCAAGAGGCAACTGATCAATGTTTTTCTCATGCATCGATGTTTCTCTCCCCCTCCTTCTCCCTCTCTTCTCTTCTAAAAATATATAAAAGAATAGCATTATAACTTATTATCCAGAAGACTTTTTCATAGGAAAGACTATACCAACTAGCAGACGTAAGTATTCTAGTCCTCTTTGTAATTCCAGTCTTCATTGTCATCAATAAACTGGCATTCTGGTTATCAGTTTCTAGTCTAGCTTATTTTATCATAGCACATGAGATATAAAACATCACCAAAACCATAAAAAGTACAGTGGGATTTATATGAATAAGTATGTCATTTAAAGGTCTTTCTGCTTTTTTTTTACAGGTGGTATTTATTAACTTTTTAGAGAGGGGAAGAGAGGAAGAGAAACATCAGTGTTTGAGAGGTCACATGCCCCCTACTGGGGACCTGGCCAACAACGCAGGCATGTGCCCTGACTGGGAATCAAACCAGTGACTTTTTGGTTCCCAGGCCAGCACACAATACACTGAGCCACACCAGCCAGGGCTATTTCTGCTTTCTTAACTTTCATTCTTCATACTGCATGTTAGGTGATAGTAGACAAGAGTGTGCTTCAATATAAATCTGTTGCTATTTTATAAAGATACCTTCCTAAATAGCCCGTCTCTATACTGGAAAAGGCACCATCTTAGTACCATGGATTAGAAATGTATATAACCCTAGTGCTGGTGGAAAAATGGGTTCTGGGTTGAAGGTCAGTCTCAACTGACATCACCCTCCAACTCCTTGAAAAATGAGCAAGAGGGGTGTACACATCCTTTATGTTATAAATCCTTACTGGAAAGGTGACCTAAGTAACACAAGATAGGCTCCCCTGAAAGAATATTTAATCGATCTCATAACAATCTCTAATGGAATACCACTAAAGAATTTCAACCTTGTGACCATAAAAAGGGGTATGGGAGATCCACATTGCTAATTAAGTTGCAGAAAATTATTTGGTCTGGAGAGAGACATAGCAAATTTGTTCAATGGTTATCTCTGGGACACACAGGACTAGGGAAGGTTTTGAAGGGAGATTTCAACTGGAATTGTTGGGAACTGTAGTCTTTTAAAATAACTTGGCAACAAAATACTGTGTGAAGTAGTTCCTTCCTACAAAGTACCAGTGTCTCCATTATTAAAAGGTAGATAGGCTCTGGCCAGTGTAGCTCAGTTGATTAGAGCATTATCTGGTAAAGCGAAAGGTCACGCGTTTGATTCCCAGTTGGGGCACGTGCCTAGGTTATCGTGGGTTCAGTTCAGTCGGAGCACATACAGGAGACAACCTATCAATGTTTTCCTCTCCCTTTCCTCCCTTCCTCTCTCTGAAATTAATAAATATATCCTCAGGTTAGGATTAAAAAAAGGTAGATGGTACCTCTGTTTACATTTTATAGAAAAAAAAGTGACAAAATATTGTTCACTTTGTTTTGATTATGGAATGCTAGTGTCAAATTTTTAATATTAAAGTAGTTATAAAGAATACTGTTTTCCAAAATCTAGTTGGACTTTGAGTCTAATATTTATTTTTATATAAGTACATGTAAATACGGTAATAGCAAAAAGATACCATTCCTTTTTAAATAGAAATTATAGTACCACAAAGCTCATTTGCCATATTGATCTTGCGAGCATTTGTTTTATGTAGCATAAAAGGATTTGTCAGAGCACACCAGAAAAGGGGGAGTAAGGCTATCTCTTGGCATTTCAATGTAAGAATTCCTTACTAAGTCATCAAAGGCACTATAAATCTAAGAAAGGAAGGACAAATGTTCTAAGGCTTCCATGAAGAAGGTGTTAGCATTTGGGGAACTACTGGTCAATTACCAGCTTCATCCTTAAGATGGTGGGGGAACTTGCAGAACAGTTTATCAGTCCCTGGGAGACACAAAATGGCTCAAGTAATAAAATGCTGAAAACACCATTCAGGAAACGTTGCGGTTAGCAGTCAGGAAACTGGAGGTTCTGGGTAGCCAAAATCAACAGGGAAGGCCTTATGGAGGATTTTAGGTTTGAGACAAGCCAGATTTTGAGAAGGGAAAAAAGGATTCCAAGTAAAAAAGGTAGAGATACAATAGATTCATTACTTAAAAACAAAATTTTAAATGAGCAGGTATCAGTAAATAAATCTTGGGATGATTATGATCATTGTAGCTTATGTAATAAGCTTTTCAAAAGCATAGCAATTGGTAAGAGCAGTCAAATTACAAATCTGAAATTTCTATTACTTTGTTCCTAAAAGAAACGATTTAGGGCCTCTTTTATGAAAACATGTTTAAGATGTATTATTTTAAAAAAAAATTAAATAGCATGATCCCATTATGAGTTCATACACAAGAACATTGAACTGGTTATCGATGCCCATATAAATGATTAATATTAGCACTAGTCCACAGTGATTTTTGCATTTGAAATTTTTCTACAACACACATATTCTATTTACAATCAAGGAAAAAGGATCTTCACGAGTGACTTAAAAGACCCAACTATGCTGGGACTGGGCCGGGAGGGAAATTCCTCCTTGGTCCTATACATGTTACAAACAATAGCCTGAACATCTCCAGAAAAAACCCAGTCCCAAGTTCTATAATCCCCTCCTGAGGGCAGGCCATGACAAAACACAGTCCCCAAAATCCAACCTAGATGCACAGCTAAGTCCCTGTGGGCCTGCGATTAATTTCAGAGTAGCTTGAAGAAAGGATGGATTATATATGTGTACACAGGGCATCCACCCCAGCTGTGTCCGAACCAATCTCCTTTTATGTTTTTCATTCTCTAGTTGCTGTGTCTTCACCTCATTGATCTTTGTTTTATTGTGTATCACTTGTTGTTGTATAAGCTGTCCCAAGTGCTTTTAAAAATTTTTTATTTTTATTTTTCACTTACAGTTTACTTTGAATATTATTTTCTGTTGGTTTCACGTGTACAGCATAGCAGTTAGACAATCATATACTTATTATTCCCTCCCTCAAAACTTCCAGTACCGACCTGGCGCCACACATGGCTATCACAGTATTGCAGACTGTATTCCCTATGCTGTGCATTATGTCCCCGTGACTGTCCTGTAACTACCAATTTGTACTTCTTAATGGCTTCACCTTTTTTCCCCAGTCCCCCAACACCCCTCCCCTCTGACAACCGCCAGTCTGCCCTGTGTGTCTATGAGTCTGTTTTCACCCAAGTGCTTTTTGGAAGGTGAGATCCTGCCCAAGGAGATCTATTACATTAAACCTCCTGAGGCGTATCTCTTGTCCTGCTCAAGAAGCATGGAGCCACACAGTGTAACAATCCTTACAGCTGAGGAGAGGAGTCACACCCTCTCCTTAGAATGAAAGCCTGACAAGGATTTCTGGCTCATCGGAGGGCAGGAGTTCCACATCTGCTCCAGTGCAGACAGGCTAGTCAAGGCCCAGAACCCTCCTTCAGAGACAGGCAGAATGACCCGACGTGCAGTTTAGATGGTAGACTCTATGCACAATAAATATTGAGGGAATGCTAACAAAACTTATTTGGGTTTCAGAAGTTTATAACTTATTAGGTAGTTATCAATTTGAGGGTCAGCAATGAAACTCTATTATCTACATATGATGAGCCTGCTCACCTTTCATTGTTGGGGGCTGGGGAAAGGAGAGCAGGTATCCGCCTCTTCCAAAAATGGTATTAAATCAATAAGCTATAGTTTTAAGAACGTGGGTGGGGCAAAATACATTAGTATTTAACTTCTCCTCGCCCCTAAATTTTAAAACTATTGTATAATTCTGTATTTAATTCTTGCACATTCCCCAATAACTGATTACTACTGTCCAGAGTCAAAGGCTAAGGAAAAATTAACAAAAGCCATAAATAATTTTACATTATTCCCAACATAGACTGAAAATCACTAAGTATATTTAGTTGTAAATGTTTACACCAAGAGATCTTGTATGTTGACCAAACTAATAAAAGTGACATCCAAAATACTGAGGGATCTCCTTTTAAGTGAAACATTCATTGCAGGGGGCTCTGAAGTTAACCTAATAAATGCCTGGAGGGGAACAGATGTCTTATGGGACACGCACAGAACAAGAGGAAGATGAGAAAACCCATCCAGGCCAAAGCCACAGGGAGAGGCCAAGTAGAGCTGGTCAGAGCGGAGTGCTCCTTTCAGATAAGAAAGGCTGGGAAGACAACTGAGATTTATTTGACCATGCCACCTGAGGTAACTCTCAGTAAAAACGTAGTAGTTAAAGCAGATATACAGGGAATTTTATGAAAGGTCAGATAACTTCCCTCCCATTAGATTGTTCTTGCAGATTCTGGCAGGCACCTGGGTAAATGTGACCTAGACTCTCCCAGGTTTGTTGGGCGGGGCCAGCACAACAGGCAGGCAGGCAGGCAGCGGCCGGCGAGGCAGCCGCACAGGTTTGTGCGGGGCAGTTGAAGTCCCAGCCCTGCTTCCTCAGCACCAGAGCAGAGCTCCCACCGGCTCCCGGCCCCCAACCCCCAGCTCACGTTAGGCACAGTGTGCCTTGAGTCGGGATAGACAGATGCCTGGGTGTTTTTCTGGAGATTCTTAGATGTTCATTCATTAAAGTCAATCTCACAATTTTGTTTTTACTTAAGTACAATATATTTCTTCCTTCTTTGCCACAATCTACCATCAGCATATGACCACAGAAAGATAGTTTTTTAAAAACAATTCCTGCACTGCTTTGCATCCCTTCTAATGCACGAGTAGCCTCAGAGTGTTCCTAAACCACAAAAACGGTCTCCCCCAGTGTCATTCGTGCCTCGCTTTATTCAGACACTTGAGTGGACCTCCCCCCACAGAGGCCAGCTCTGCACCTCTCTCTCTTCACAGTAAAGGAAAACCCCATCGTTCCCTAAGGCCACGAACAAGGGGAGACTTTTGGGACACCTTTCATTTGCCGCAGACACAGCAGCCCGGCCAGTCGGCAATGCCCCATCCACAAAATGCCAATTTCCTACCTCTACCCTTTTTCTCCATTTCTAAAGGATCTGTAAGATTTAAAATCTGCTCATTTTATGAGCAATCTAGTGACCCACACATGTTAATTTATGTCTAAAACTAAAAATAAATAGTGAGGTTCTTAAACAAGGACAACTTTCCCTAACTAGGTTATATGACTGGGCTGTGGGTGCGGGGAGATTATGAGGTACTGTGGAGCAGGCAGGTTCCCTCCCGGACACCTCTTCAAGGCTCAGGCAAGTCAGTAGTATTAATAACAAGGCCTCAGCTTGGACATGCCTTAGGTTAAAAACGGGGGCAGTGATCAACAATCCAAGACACTAGTTACATACTTGGCTTTTGATAAACTGAAACAAAGTCTGGGTGGCCCACCCTGAATGGGAACAGGAAACTAGAGGCTTAATTAAAGTAAGTTTGACACCCAAAATGGATTCCTCAACCAGGAGTTACTTTGGAGAGAAGCCACAGAGGCTGGGCCAGTCCTGAGACGGCAGCTAAGGACGGATTTTCTCCCTCCCCAGTGTAACACAGCAAATGCACCTATAAGGTGGAGCTGCCAACAGCGGTTCCCTTCCAGCTCAAGCAAGAAGCAGGGAAACAAGGATTTCTAGATTAACCTGGGAAACAGAAGACAAACCAAAATCAATTTAAACAGCCTCACAAAAGAGAAAACTGTTGGGAGATCTTATTTAAAAAAAAAGGTGGGCAAAGAGAGGAAACAGGCCAAGGGCCTTTGGACTTCAGCGGCAAGTCCATCGAGATGCTTTGAGATTCTCAGCTAAGAGAGTTCAGCCTCCATCCACCGTCAGCCCCAGACATATCCCAAAGCAACCTCCATAGAGCCAATCTTCTTCCTCATAACGCTGAACCGAGACGGGCACCCACACATGTCCTCCATCCCATCAAACTGCAGCGGGTGTTTCACCGACCCTCGCCCCATCGGCTCTCGGCGCTCTCCTCTCTGGCAGCGGGTTCTGGGTCTTTACCGCCAGGCACGATTCAGGAGTTTCACCTGTGCCAGTCTCTTAGTGATCATGGTGGCGAAAACCAAGCCAAAGAGGACACTGCTGATTAACACGTAGTCATAGTCATCCTTCAGGACATCAAACTGTTTGGACGGGTAGACTCGCGTTTGGTAGATGTCCAGGCCGTAGGCTACAACCTGGAAGGCAGAGGGAGTGAGAAGGCAGAGGGAGTGAGAAACAGGGAAGAAAGGCCGCCAGTGACCTACACCACCTCAGACTCGGGGACGAAAGGAAATGGAATCCTCAGCTGTTTCCCCAGGGGTGAAACCAGGAGCAGCTGTCCCACAGGTGGCTTTGGAGACAGCACATAGGGTGGCTGTGGGCTCTACTCACCAAACAAGTAGACTCCAGGCCTGAGGGGGCAGTGTAGATACCTCGCATTCGAGAAACTGTCTGGTTATAGTTGATGAATCGCTCCGCGTGTATCTGTACATCTGGCGAATACGGGATTAGGTTCTCCTCCCTGCAAAACATCAGCCGGGACCGGCATCAAACTGCTGTAAGGGGATCCCTTGGCTGCCCTTTCAGAGGCCTGGGAGCTTTCCAGGCCACATATCTAGCCTCAAATCTTCCTGCAAAGTCTACTAGGCAGTTAAAAATTTAGCAGCTAAATATTAGGAAGGCTGCAAGAAAGCAGGCTGCACAGAGATGTAGACTGAGATCTGGATTCCTACCTGGTTCTAAATCTAAGAACAAGTAACATACAGGTAACCAGTATTTCTCACCAGGGCAGGAGAGTCAGGGCCATTTTAAAACAAAAACTTTGAGCCACCAGGCCAATTCCTGCTCTCCCTCCAGGGCGCTGTCTCCACTCCTGAAAACCCTGTTATCACCCCCCACACCGTCTTTTCCCAGCTTCGTCTCCCCTGCCAGTCCCCACATCACTTTCACTCTCATTGTCCACACCCCGCCCCCAAACCATACTCCTCTCTCCTTTCCTCATGTGCAAAGACAGAACTAATGTCTCATGCCCTAAGCGAAGAGGATTCAGGATAGAGGCAAGGAAGTAGACAAAAATGATGGCTGGAATCACTGAAATTAATACTAAGAGAGACGAGCTATTGCCTCCCCTAGCGACCCAGCCCCACTGCCGCCCTGACTTCGTTGCCCACACCCCCACCGCCAGCTGCTCCAGCCCCACTGGCCTCCCAGCCCCGCTCTGACTCACCGGACACGATCTTCGGGCACTCGCACTGGCTCCTGCCTCTGCCTGAAAGTCCCCCTCAGGTCTCCACAGGGCCAGCGGCCTTCCTCCTCCCAGTCTCGAGTCAATAGCCACCATTCCAGAGGGGCCTTTCCCAGGCCACCCTCTCAAAGTTGGCCCACACATACCCCCAACCCCAACCCTTCACAGCCCCTGTCCCTTTTTTGTTGTTTTTTTTTCCTCCTCAGCACTTAAGAGTAGCTACCAGCTCACCTTATTTACTGTCCATCTCCCCAACCAGAATGCAAACCTGCTGAGGGCAGCCACGTCGGTCAGACTAGTCCACGGCTGCCTGCCTAGCCCCCAGCACGGCAGGACGGCACGCACCAGACTGAGGACCACACTTGCTCAAAAGGTCAAACTCCTTAAGGCCAGAGCCTTCACACTGCCCACAGGGGCTCACCTGCTTTGTTCTGTGGGGATCTCAGGACGGCGGGGATCCAGCAAGGCCTTAGGGAGGGAAAGGATTGCTCCGGAAGGTAGTCCGACTGCACAGAGAGACGTCAAAGTGAATGTTCACACTGACCAGCCCCAGATCAGGGCGGCCTAGAAAAATGTCATCAGCACAGAAATTTGGAATCAGAGTTTAAAACAACAGCAACAAAAGGATGAACAAGGCTCCCTTAGTGGCCAGAACGATCACCTATAACGTGCACGGGTCTGAATGAAGGTCCCCACCACACAAGGATGAGCCCTGAGCCATGCCAGCTGCCGCAGTCAGCACAGGCCACCTGTTAGCGATGACATCGGGGCTCAGCCCTCTGAGCGAGGTGACAATGCAGAACCAAAGGAGTTCCTCAAAAATGAGTATTAAAACATGTCATCTCCGAAGGGTGGCAAAGCCGAGTAAGGACCTCCTTCTGCTGAAATAAGGCCCTCCTCACACAGCTCCCCCCACGGTGGTCAGAGGCGCCCCGCCGGCAGGGCATCCCAGGCTCTGTCCTGCAGTGCCACCGCCTCAGAGAACCCCGTCGCCCCAGAGACCCTCCCGTCACTCACTAAGCAGGTGCCGGCTGGTGATGCCCCGCTCGGTGATGGTGGCCTCCATGGCACTGATGGAGGAGGGGAAGATGTAGGACTGCTGGAGGACCTGGGGCAGCTGAGGCCGGTCCAGGGAGCTGAAGGCGGTGGCGTTGTACTGCTCCGTGCCCTCGTAGAGCTCCAGCACGGTGAGCTCGTTGCGCCGGGCCTTGGTGTTCCAGTACTGGTACTGTAAGGAGAAGTGGGCGCAGCTGGGGGCTCGGCCACTGGTCCCCCTGGACGGGGGAAATTACGTGGGAAGACACCTTTCCAATTAGCTACGTGCCCGGGAAGGAAAGAAGCCATCCAGTGCCCCTGTTTTCTTCCCTGCTAACAAGTTTACTCATTTTCAGAGCAGTCTTCTCTAGGCTACCAAAGAGCACCACAGAAACAAAGAATTCTCGAGATTCCTGGAGGTCGGAATAATTATAGCTAATGTTTGAGTGCTCAGTACGTGCCAGGCATTGTTGTAAGATAGACTAGAGGTGACTGCTACGACCCGTTTCACAAATGATGCGACACAGAAGAGCTTAAATAACTAGTTCAAGTCAAGGTTGTACGGTCAGACAATGGGAGAGCTGGGATCAAAGCTGGGCAGCCTGACCCCTGCGCCTAGCCCTTAGCCAGCGCGCCACGCTTCCACCCAGAGGCCTGGGATCCCACGAAAACAAAGAGCAGCAACTGGTTTCCAGAACAAGAGGCAATGAGAGGATTCGGACACAGGGAGACCAGCCATTCAGTCTTGAGCTACGTCCTGTCCTGGGGGCGACACGAGTTTATCTGCGACTCCTTACCACCACCCAGTTCTCTGAGTGCACGATGTGCACGGGGCCCTTGGCCTTCCTCTGCACGGAGGAGTGGATGATGCGCCCAGTGACTCCGTCCACCAGGAAGATCCCGATGAAGGTGCGCTCGTGGTGCACATCGGCGCTCTCAGTCACCACGGCCAGCAGGTTGGGGTTCAGGCTCTGGGGAGGAGGAGAGGAAAATGCCCTCAGAACCACAGGGGCACATCATGGGCTGCACTCCACTGTGAGCCCCAAGCAGTGAGGCAGACCTGGGGCTCGACGGCCTGGCAAAGGAATCGGGTTTTCGGGTTGGAAGAGCTGGTTTTCGCTGTGTTTGTTCCGTGTCTGCTGGGTGCTGGGGGCCGTGCCACGTGGGAGGCATGCCACATGCCTACCTCATTTCACAGAATCCTTAAACAACCTTGCAAAGTAGCTGTTATTTACCTTTTGTAAGTGAAATGTCTGAAAGTAGTTAAGCATCTTGCTCAAGTCACAGAAGGGCAAATGGTAACTGAAGATACAACCCAGCCTGCCCACCCACGGGCCCAAGGACACCGCTCCAGCACTGCTGCTTCTCTCTGCCGGCATCTTCCCTATCTCCGAATCGATGGGTAAGTCTCGGTTCTCACCTTACCTGACCTACTAGTACCATGTGACACAGGGGATCACTCCTATCTTGAAACACTTTCTCCACCTGGCATCCAGGACGTCCGCTCCCTGGTTTTCTTTCTGCTTTACTGTCCACACCTTGCCAGTCTCTTCTGTGGGTTCCTCCTCATCTCCCCGATCTCCTGGACAGCCCCACCCGTACTCGCTCTCACGGTGACCTCAGCCAGTCTCATAGCCTTCATACCGTCTGTGGGTGCTGGCAACGCCCAGCCTGACGAGCCAGGCCTCTCCCTGGACCGCAGGCTTGACTGACAGACTGCCAGCGCAGTGTCTCTTCTCGGATGTCTCGTCTCAAACTCGGCGTGCCCCTGCTGAACTCCTGCTCTACCCCTGCTACGACCTGCTCCCTGCAGGGCTCCCCGTTCGTAGTGTCTTAGACCTGAAACCTCCACGGCATCTAACTGCTTTCCCTCTAACACACGCGCACCCTGTCCACCAGCGTAGGCGCCTTTCTCCACCTCCAAAGTATCCAGAATCAGATCCTTTGTCACCACCCTAGTCAACCCAGTCTGAGCCACCGTCACCTCATCTGGATTATTACAATAGCCCATTGTCTGCCTGCTCTCCTCCCTGGCCCATGGCAGGCCAGTCTCAACACGCGGGCCAAGTGAACCTGTTCCACCTCTGTCACTTCTGTCACACTCTGCTCACACCCTCCCAGGGGCTCTTCAGCTCACTCACAAGGCCAGAGGGGTGGCTTGTGACCTGGCCCTGACACCTGCTGGCCTCAGCAACCTAGACTTCCTTCCTCAAAGACCCGTTCCAGCCATACTACCCTCCTTGCTGTTCCTAGAACACTCCAGGCACGCTCTGGCTTTTCTGTCCAGAAGGCTCTTCCCCAGGTGTCCTGACTCGCCTCCTCGCTCCCCCAGGTTTCACTCAGGTGTCGCTTCCTCGAGAGACCCTCCCTGACCACCCTAGTTTAAATGTGGCCCCTTCCACTCCGGTGCCCCCTTGCCCTCTTCTCAGCTTTGTGGTTTTCTATACAACTGCTCACCCTCTAATCTGCTATCTAATCTATTTTTATTATTATTATTAACCTCTTCCAAATAACAGTGAAAGCCTCATGAGGACAGAAAATGATGTCTATTTTGTTCACTGATGTATCCCAGTGTCTAAAGAGTACCTGGCACCCAACTGACACTCAAAGAAAAAAAAAAAAGGCCACTTTACCTTTGTAATACTCCTTCCAAAAACCCACAGCCACGGTGTAACCATGAGAAAAACATCAGACAAAGCAAAATTGCGAGACACTCTACAAAACACCTGATTAGTACTCTTGAAAACAAGGTAAGACTGGAAACCCATCAAAGACCGGAGGAAACCAACGAGGCCTGACCACTAGATGCAACGTGGGGCCCCAGACTGGATCCCGGGACAGAAAAGGACACTAATGGAAAAGCTGGCGAAACCCAAACCAATACTGGAGTTCAGCGACCAGCGTTCTGCCAGTGTTGGTGTCTCACTTGAGACAGGTGTGCCACGGCCCTAGGGAGAACCAGAGAAGATGAATGTGGGATTCTAGGTACTATCTTTGTGGCTTTTCTGTAAATCTAAAATTAAGCCAAAAATAAAAACGTTCATTTAAAAAAGGCCTAACCTAAAAACTTTGCATAAAGAATATGAACCCAAAGCGCCCTACCCGTATTAGGCTTTCACATATAAAAACACAAGTACTCTAGTATATTTTACCTCATACGAATGAAATTGCACAGTAAATTTTTTTCTAGTACAAATCAAGATGTGCTTTAGAATACGTATTATTTTGGTCGATCTGAAGGAGCAAGACTGCCTGCGGCCCCATGGAAGGCACCCAGCAATAAGGGTTCCAAGCGGATAGCACTAATGATAATGTTAACTGCGTGGGAGACACCGTTCTACTCACAGTAGGTATTATCGCTGATCTTCAAAATAATCCTGTGACCTACCTATGCTACTACCTCCAATATGTTAGCGAAAACAGAAGTTCGGGAAGCCTAAGCTAATCCCCGCCAATGAACAGTCGGTCTGCGGCAGAGCCACTTCGGACCCTGGACGGTCCAGCGGGAAGCCTGCGCTCGCCTCACACTTTGCGAAGCAGCTCCCCGCCAGGTTCCTGGGCCTATCACATCTCTTCTCACTCAGCCTCTGCTGTACTGGGGGACGTGGTTAGTGTCCATTACTACGATGACTGCATTCTCTCACAGGGCAGTTTGGCAGCCCACTAGTCACCTCTTCATCTCCTGCCCTTTACTGCTAACTCGAGTGCTGGATCACAGGGATGGCATTTCTGATGGGTCGACTAAGGTTTAACCACAGGATGTTCTATCAGTATTAGCACGAATAATAATCACAGCCAGCATCTATTGGGTAGTGGCCAATGCGAGGCCCCAGGGTAAGCACGAGCCTCTCATGTGATCTCACAACCACCCCGGGGGAAGGGCACAGAGTGTCCATTTCACAGACAGGAAGTCAGGCTGAAAGAGATTAAATGACTCACTCAAGGTCATGCACCTACCAAATTCTAGAGCCAAAATTCAAACCCTTGCCCTTCCGCTCTATACCAGACTGCTGTGCCATACCTTGTAGAGCACGCTGCGGTCCCCCATCACACGGCCCTGGGAATGCACGTGCTCGCTGCTGCGCTTCCCCTTCACCTTGACGATACGCTGTACTTCTGGGGGAATGGTTAACTCCCAGCTCAGTTCAGTGGTCAGATCCTAGAGCAAAGGCAAAACAGCCAGCCCGTGTAACCAGGCAGGGGCACCCAGACGCCAGACAGCCAGAGCTAGACACATCCCACAGTTCATTATTTGCAGCCTCTGTGCTGGAAGAAACAAAAACAGCAATAGGGGCCTAATTTGTGGAGAAGTTTTAGAATTCTCAGTTTGATTTGGAAGATACTAAAGCCATTAAGAAAGATTATTTAACAGCATCCCATTGTTTATCTGAGTAGGAAATACCCAAAGAAAAGCTACCACTTATTACTAGAATCGAAGAATCTGTATACTGGGCCAGCAGTGAATTACTGAGCTGGCAGGGACCTCAAAGTATTACAGGAAATGTCACTTAATAGAGGAAACCAATAAGCAAATCTATATGGTTAAATGTTATTACAGGGGAAGGGGAAAGGGACCAAGGGTCTCCTGGGGTGCCGGTGGCATTCTGCTTCCTATTCTGATGGCTAGGCATGCAAACGTTCCTTTTTGAACATTTCTGGACTATTCCTAAATATTAGACTTTAAAAAAATGGGTTTAACAAAATAATGAGAGAAAAAACTCAACTTTCCTATTAATAAATACAGGTCAATTCGATTTCACTAAGAGGAAGTATTTGGCATCACACGTACGTGTGGTCCACATAGCTGCTTCCACAGGAAGGACAGCGGGAAGACGCACAGCCAACCCCTGGCAGGCCTTCCATCTGGGAGGGCGGCTGGGAACGGGGCTGAAAACGTCCAGTCACACTTCGATTTGGACTTCTCCATCAATTTCATCTTTTACAATGAAAAACACTCCCAGAGAGTAAAGTCACCAGTAAACTCACTCAGAGGTCAAAGACCATAGGTCACCTTGGCCTATTCCCCACACACACTTTGCCTCCTTTATCTGCCCTGGGCCACTGCTTACCCCAATGACATCCTAAGGACTCCCTGGTTCATGACACCCACACTCCAGTTTGCTCCCCTGTATCCACAATGAACTGTCTCTTCCAGGGTCTCCTTTCTATCAACTTGGAAGGGCAACTTTTTTCGCCCACAAGGGTGAAGGACACAGTTCCTGGGTAGACTGTTCCCTATGCTATTCATGTGAAAGGCTGGCTGTTACAAAATTCCAGAAAAGGGCCTGTACCACATGCCAGGCATTGCTTTACATGATTTACATGGATTAATTCCCTGACTCCTCCCAATAGCCCTATGAGGTAGGTGCTATCATCTTATTTCACAGACAAGAAAACAGGGCTACAGAAATCGTACGCCCAAGGTAACAAAGTTAGTACGCGAGGTTTCCCACACAGGCAACTGGGTCCAAGCTCACGGCACCTCTCCAAAGGCCCTACGGGGCGGGATTAAGGGCCATCTGGAGAGCACATGCCACAGATCACTCCTCGATGCAGCCCTGCTAGCAAGACCCCGGCCAGGCCCCTGAAATCTCCGAGCCGGACTTCCCAGCAGTGCGAACCGCTGTGTGCAAGGGCTGGGCTCAAACGTCAGGGTCAGAGCAAAGCTATCCCAGTTCTAGAAATAAAATTCGAAGCGCACATCCTGTCAAGAGTGGGCTAATCACATCACCTTCATATCGAAAGTAATTTACTCAACCCCCATGCCCACCTCCCACCCTCCCCAAATTGGAGGGGAACGCCCCTTCTCTTGGCTACAGGAAGGAATGCAGAATGGAAACTCCATGGAGCAGAGACTTTGTGGTTCGCTGCTCCTTCCGCAGCACCTATAACCATGCCTGCCATGTAGTAGCTGCTCAATAAATATGAGAATGACTTTAAGCCCTGACCAGGTAGCTCAGCTGGTTAGAGCATCATCCTGATACACCAAGGTTGTAGGTTTGATGTCTGGTCGGGGTGCATACAAGAAATCAGCCAGTAAATGCACAAATAAGTGTAACAACAAATTGATGATTTTCTCTCTCCCTTAAAAAAAAAATCAATAAAAAAAATTACTTTGAATCAGACATCAGGACTACAATCTCAAAACAGAATTCACTTCTTAGCACATCTCTCCTACAAAGGTGCTCACAAGATGCCCCTCCCCTACCTTTCGAAGTCGGTATCCACACAGCCGCCCCTGCTCTGCATCCACCAAGTAGAAGAAGATGGAAGGGGCCAGCTCATGCAGCTGTCGCAGAACATTCCGAGTGGCTGGGAAAGCTGTCACCTTGAATACCCAGAGAGCCCAGGAAAAGAGTTGAAGGAAACAGTTAAGAGTCTCTAGCAGTTTCTCAGTACTCATTACTATTTCCCATCAAGGAAAGGCGTAATACAACAGAAAATCTTTAAAAGAATTAGCCTACTCAACTCAATTAGGCCTTCAATTTAGTTCTGTTAAGACCCTGAGTTTTCACAAGTGCAGAAAGAGCAATCAAGTCACCTACAGATGCCCTTCAAGCCCAAACGTGTGCTGACGGCAGACGACTCCCGCCTCCGGTCCACCGGCTGCTGTCTGACCGCCCCTTCGCACACAGTTCGCCCTGACTGGTCTCCAGCCCCGCCGAAGATGCCGTACCTTGTACTCATCGTCTATCAACAGCAGCACCTTGGCATAGTCTTGATCCATGATGGGGAGAAGCAAAGACTGCAAGATGGGGCGCTTCAGCACCGGGGGGGCCACCTGACTCCACTTCCCAAAAATGGGATTGAAGACGTAGAGAGAACTCATTCCTGTCTCCTGAAATGGGCAAACTGTCAGATTTCACCAACATGAAAAGAATGCACTTCCTAGGATAAATCTGGAAGCTGGAGCTTCAGCTCAAATGTGTTGGATTCCTTAGCCTTTGCCCTCTTTGTCGAAAAGTCTTGGCTGTCGTGGCTGCTGTGGCTCTGTGGATTCAGTGCCAGCCTGTGAACTAAAAGGTCACCGGTTCGATTCTCAGTCAGGACACATGCCTGGTTTGCGGGCCAGATTCCTGGCTGGGGGCATGCAAGAGGCAACCAACTGATGTTTCTCATGTCTATGTTTCTCTCCCTCTTTCTCCCTTCCGCTCTCTCCAAAAATAGATAAAATCTTCTTTAAAAAGAACAGAAAATAGTCTTCACTGAAGGTGAAGTTCCCCTAGGCCAATGTGTCAAAAGGAAAATAAACTTCCTCTTGATTCCAAAGCTAACCAAGGTCTGGACAGGCTGAGGGGCAAATAAAATGGTCAAGAACCAATTCAGCAACCCCAGGCAGCCATTCCAGCACAATGATTCCCAGTCCCCTTCTAACAGTACCAGAGCGAACCCACAAAAGTCCATCTAATCCTGGGAGGCAGAGGTACAAATCCTGCTCCCTCTCATCTGGAGACAAGAAACCGCCGCTGTTTGGGAAGAAGGCGAGCAGCTTACTATAGGTCCGGCCACAGCTGCCTTCCAGTCCATTCCAGTCCATTCTACATCAGTCCTGCAAGGGCCCTCCACTCAGGAAAAGACTAGAAGAAACACAGCTCTAAGCCCTAAGTACTGATCTTTAACTCTCATAGAGCTCTCAAGGCCTAGGAGAAACTTAAGTCACAGAACACCAAAAAGCCATACGGCTTTGGTTCAAATCAGAGGTGGCCTCACCTTATCCTTTATCAGGAGGGTGCACTGCGGCGGGTGGGGGAAGTGGGCAGTAGTTCTCTGCACCACCAGTTTGAAGGAGGAGTCTGGCTTGACACTGGGGAGATACTGTTTCCACAGTATGGTGCCCGAGCTGCTTTCAATGCCAAAAAGCTGAAAGATAAACACATAACCAGCTAAGGATCAGAAAGACAAAGCAAAGAACCCGATTCTCTCTGTGCAAGTGGGAGCCCAGCTCTCCACAACCACGCTGGGCCTGAGGTGCGGCACCCGGGCCCCGCCCGCTCACCTTGCCCGAGGCTGTCGCCACCACCATCATCTTCTGGAGGTTGAACTCATCTCTGGCCAGGGTGTCGATGTTGATCTCATTCTTGATCTGGCTGCGGGGCTTCCGAGCGTCGTAAAACATTTTCCAGAGGTGGGCAGTCCACGCCTGCAGCAGGATGAGCTGGGACGAGAGGCGTTTCAGGAGCATCCCCAGCAGGCCATCTGGTATCAAGGACAAGGTCGTGTGACTGAGGCTCGCTCCCCACAGGAGCCAGTGTTTGCAGCAAGGGGGCCCTCGCTGCTCCTCACAGGGAGTCACTCTCTCCCCTGTGGCTAAACGCCCAAGGGGCGGCCCTGTGTTGGACGCCAACAGTCTCGGGCTCAGGTACAGACGGGCAGGAACTTCCAAACCTACTTACCTGGCACTCAGTACTTGCCCTGCCTGGAACTTGGAATAGGAGACTAAGAGGTCAGGGTCAGCCATGCAGGATGCAGTCATGCTGTGAGTATCTCCGCCACAGCCCACACCCAGAATGGCCAGAGGAGGGCTCTGGGTACCAGGAAACCAAAGCGGGGGGCATGTGGGGTGCAGGGGTGCCTACATATGAGCATCCTGAACGGGTACTTCCACTTCCCACTGCTTCACTCCTTCTCTGCCGACGGCTAACCTGCACCAGACACACCTCCCGACACCCAGGTCCCAGGGTTCTCCTCCTCTCCCCCCGCCTCCATCCATGACGCCACACCCTCAGATCTCCTCCACAGGGCAGATCGGGTCACGAAGCAAGGGAGCCCGGGACAGAGCACGGCCTCTGCAGTCGGCCCGCCAGGCCTGGATTAACATCCCTACCCCACTGTGTACTGACTGGGTGACCCTGGGAAATGTACTTGATCTTCTGGCCTCTGGCTCCTCATCTGTGAAATGGCATGTCACCCACTGGCTGGGCTGCTGCAAGGTGGCCCCACATGATGTACACACAGGGTTTTGCACAGTGCAGGGCACACACCAAGTGCTCACTGAAAAGGACGAGTGCCCTTTCCTATGTAAGTTTCCTTCAGCTCCAGGAAGACAAGTGACAGGCAAACAGGACAAGTCACAGCCACAGCAGTCCACGCACACACGGTCTCTACTTTGTTGATGCAAGTCAGGAAAAACAAAGAATGAACCAAAAACTAGTCACGTGGGCAGGCAACAAACAACAAGGCAGCAGGAAGCAGATTTTACCTTGAATCGCTGGATCCAGGCAGCAAAAATAAACGGTAAAGTTGAATTAATCTTCAGCTTAAGAAAATCTGCAATGCCTACCAGGGCGCCTGGCCCAGAGTGGGCCCTCAATAAAAATCTGTTGGCCAGCAAGACGAACAGATGGAGGGGAGACAGGTGGGAGGCAGAGTGAAGCAGAGCAGGGGAGTGAGTCTGTCCCGGGGCGGGGGCTGGGGCAGGCCTCAGAGGGCACCAGCCACAATAGCTGGGTCAGCCCAGTCTCGTCTCTCTAGAAAGGAAGGACTGCCGCTTTGCGGACAATAGGTGTACGCTGCCTGACAAACCTAGGTACTCCAACAAGGGCAGCTATTTCTACACTAAAGAAGGTTTCTTTCCCTCAGGGCCCTTCCCTAGAGGGAGTCAGGGGTGGCACCTTTCAGACAGAAATCATATGGCCACAAAGTTCTGCAAGTGGTCTCAGAGCCGGTTCAGGACAGTCTGGCATACGGCCGCACCCCGGAAGCCAGGGATGCCGTGGGACAGCACCGCTTGTGGTCCAACTAACAGACCCATTCCCACAGCACCCCCTCCAGCAACTCTGCCGTCCCAAGCTCTGGGGCTCATACCTGCCTTCTTGCCAAACTCTCCTTCCAGCTCGGCCTGCGCCCCAGTCAGCGGGAGGTCCACCATCTCCAGGCACACCACCTCTGCCAGAGACTCCTCCCGGCTCCACAACACGACCTTCCCTGCTGGAGAAGCCACGGTCACAAAGCTGAGCCCCCCACCACCTCCCAAAGAGAACCTTCTTGGGGGCCCAGGGATTCCCAGCAGTTCTTGTGTAAAAAAGAGAAAGGACAGAACGAGGGACTAGATTCAACAGGTCAAGTACAAAAAGTTCCACACCCCAGCCGAGAATGATAAGAAATTACTCAAAAGCAGGTGACATATGCCCTGAAAAAAAATATCAGGGTACGCTCAGCGGGAACCTTTTCCAGAAGCCTGCCCACCACCCCAAATAGAGTTTGACCAGAACTCATGCACAGGCCTGAAACAAGAGGGCTGAGGGAGGTCTGCTCACCCAGCTGCTGCAGGAAGAGCAGCAGGTGATCCTCTGTCTGCACCAAGGCCCGGTAGCCCACAGAGTCATCCTTCTTCAAGAACACCTGGATGTAGAGCTGTAAGCCAAAGAGTCAAGACCACCGCAGCTAGCAAGAATTCAAACGCCTCTTAGAGCGCCGGACCCCAGGATTCAAAGCCTCAGGAGTGGCTGGAGGGCCAGGCATGGTGTTATTTGATATCTAAACAATACAACTATTGCCTGGACTCCCATAAGAGAACACATATTCTTATGAGCCAACGCGACGGCGCTAGGCTCAAGCTCAGACCTCTCCATGCAGGAACACTGAGTGCTTCTCGGACACCCTATCATTTACCATGGGCCGGTCACACCCCACAAAGTGAGCAGGAGGCCAGGGCTAGACTTCCCATTTTAGAAACAAAAAAGCCCCAGCCAAGACAGGCTGAGAGACACAACTAAACGTGCACAAAGGCCACACTGCGTGGCCACGAGGAATGCCAGCTGCAGGGTGAGTGACCTCCCACTAGCTCTATGACTCGGGACAGGGTCCCAAACCTCTGTCACAGTTCCCTCATTTGTAACAACCACCTCATGAGACATCTGGGAGGGTTAAATCGATTAGTGCACACATGGAAAGTTTGCACGGTGCCTGGCACAGTGACAACTTGGAAGGAATGGTACCTGCTTCTGCTGTTATTCACAGGGACCTGTGACAGGCCAGAGGCTCAGGAAGAAATAGAACCCACGTCCGGCGAGCTCTAGTCCAGGCCCCGTGGCTGTGACCCAGCCCTGAGGGAAGGGAGCCTCAGGCTGAGACACCCACAGGACGCAGCCCGAGGACAAAGGCCCCCCTCACCCGCTCGGGCCGAGTGCTGTTCTGTTCCAGGGTGAAGGTGATTGTGGTGTCGAGCAGCCGCCGACCGGTCTCCACCAGGTAGAGGTTAATGGTATAAGTCTGGTTGAAGCAAGCCAGCAAGTCCTAGGGGAACACGCAGCACTGAGCAACTGAGGGATCTCCCAAACGAAGTTCAAGAACACAGGGGAAGTCCTAGAGAAGGACCCAGACCAGGAGGGGAAATATATGCAAAGGAAAATAGAAAAGAAAGCTAAGCCCTAAGGCAGAAATGAGATAGCTGAGTAAGTAAAATCACAACCACTGTACTTGTACAGAGGAAACCAGGCCAGCGTAGCAGAGGCTTCCCAGAGGCAAAAGCGTAAGCAGAGAAGTGACAACCCCTTTGGAAAAGCTTAGGAGAAAGAGCCACAGCAGGAGCTTGTGCCGCTGGCCAGGGTCCGATGCTCCACCCCAGCGCAAATGCTCAGGTTAAAACACAACTCCGCCAGCCGGGACCCCAGAAGAGATGGGGAAGCGAAGGCCCAGAGGGGACAGTGGTTAGGAACAGATATTAGAGATTTTACTCTCTAATTTCCCAACTGAAAAGACCAAGGGAAATATCATTTACACGACTCAGGAGACCCCATTTGAGCCTGGAAATGCCAGGAGACCTGCTCTGGCCTGGGGTGCACCACCCCCTTCACAGTGTGACCTCCTGTGTCTCCAGGTGTGGCACACTAGCCCAGTGCCACAATCTACCCTACCTGTGCACTAGACTTCTCGGAAAAGCTCCCCATGGACCCCTCCTCGGAAGTGCTAGGTTTCTGCTGGGAAAAGAGGACAGAAGGAGAAAATTGAGCCAAAGGGTCACTTCCCAGCCCCCCAAATGAAGCTTTCCCCTGTGTCTCCTCAGCACTTGGGGGAGGTAAATCTCAATTTCTCATTCCTGCCCACAAGGCCTCCGCAACCCTCAACAGTCACAGATGAAAGTGAGGTTGTCATAATAGGGTCCCACTCCTGGGGACCCAGGGAGTAGACAGAAAGCTCTACAGATGAAGTGTGAACTTAGTCCTCAACAGCCTCGGGGCCCACTGGGTTCAGAGTGACCAGGAGAACGTGCCCAGACCTTTGGTTCCCTAGGCTCCTGGTGAGGACAAGGAAGGAACCCCCCAAGTGCTGACTGGTACTCTCAACACTCACCGCTTCATTGCGACAGGTCATGACCGCAGCCACTGTCTTCTCCCCGGTGGTGGCAAAGCTCACGAGGGCAGCCTGGGGGAGACCAGGGCGTCAGTGCCCGGCGGGGCTTTACTAGCCAGCAGCCTTCCAGAGGGCCACCGCTACAGGGAGACCCCTGGGCCGTGGAGTGGAAAGTACGCCCACCTTTAGAGCACAACGGCCAGGGCACGGGAGAGCAGAGGAAGGGCCAGGTGCCTCCAGAGCTGCAAACAGGCCTGCCCCCTGCCTCCCACAGAGGCACAGGTCCGTCCCAAATCCCATGCTGCTCTTGGTGTCTGTGGGAAGCTCTCATTAACACCCCCACTTTCCTGTCGGCCCAGAGGAGAGTGCCACTTTTACTCTATGAAGACCCTTTATAACTCTTAGAAGGAAAAGTGTCCCACTTCCCCTCTAAGGCTAACCCCTCTCAAGCCACCAATGGAAAGATGTTTTTCTCTTGAGCAAATGCCTCTCGCTGCAAAGGCAGGGATTTCTAGCATCCTGTCTTGGCTAGATCCTCCTGAATCCCAACAAACCACGCAGCCTGCAGGTACCTGTGGGAAGTTTTTCAGGAGACTCAGGACCCCGTGACGGTAGTGCAGCAAAGCATAGTGGCTTGGGGACAACTGCAGGAAGAACTGGGCCCGAGAAGGATCCACTGGATTGGGCTGTGTGGGCAGGACCCGAGGCTGAAATCCACTTGCAAATTCTAACTCGAGAGACTGGGAGGCAAGGAGGGGGAGGGTTAGGGCTAAACGCCAAGCAGTCAGTTTCCCATCCCAGGCATGCGTCCTCTGCCCCACTTTGCCAGCAAGAGTAACTGGGCCACGGCAGGCAGCTCCAGAAGCTCCCATTCAGGCTCTCCAAAGAGGAGAGCGGCCCACTTCCCCTTTTACCAGTTCAGCCAGAGGCCTGGCCTTCTCTCAGCAGCTGTCAAGTCTCGGAAAGGCAGCAGTGATGCTGAGAGAAAGACTTTTCTAAGCAGCAAAGGCTGTGCCTCGGGCCAGGGGAAGCATCGCTGGTCACTCACCTGCAGTGGGATCTGCCTCAACTCCCACTCCGTCTCCAGGGCCAAGGTTTGCAGGGACCGGGAGCTTGGGTCAGGGCACACCAGAACAGCCTCATCCACCACACCACAGGCTCCGGTGAGACTTTGCAGCCAGGGAGTTGAAACCCTGACCTATGGGAAAGACATCATAACAGGAGGCCCGCGAGGGTTCTTACCCTTCTCGCTCAGCGCATCTGAAGTGTCACCCAGATTCCACGGGGGGCCTAAGCTTCATGGACGGTTCCAGTGGAGCTCTCCCTGTCCCCCTGCCTCCCCGAAGCTCCAACACCAGAGAAAAATCACAATTTTCTTTCTGGTTACTAGAAAAATATGCCAGATTATTTGTAATACCTGACATTTCAGATAAGCATTTATTTACTGCATGTGTCATATGCGGTTTAACTATCATTACTTTGTAATATTATTTTGTAAGACACTTGCAGGCAACAAACAGAGCTGTGTAATTTTGTTCGGCCACCCCAGGAGAGCACTACGTGTGAATGTGAGAGCTTCAGATAAATACTTGGGGAGCATCTGAGATCTTGCTTCCCGGCACGTCGTCAGTTTGGCTCAAATAAGTCCATTAAAAGTCAAATAAATAAATACTTGATGAGGAGAAGGCAGCCTCCAAGTGTTCAGAATCAGGGACCTTAAATGGCTTTTGCGTCGACCCAGCCAAGCTCCCTGGCCCTAGTGCAAGGAAGGGCTCTACCTGTTCCCCTCCTCAATTCCCAAGGCTCCTTGAGGCAGATGCATGACCCTACCTGTTGCACAATCTCTCCATCTTCCACGTTAAACTTGACAACGTTCACATGGCTGAAGGGGACAACGCCGAGGGCCCACACCACCCCAGAGCCATAGGAATACACCATCTGGTAATGGATGCTGTCACTAAGAGAGCCAAAAAAAAGCAGGGATCAGCAGCTTGAGCCTTAGGAAGGACGGGGTCCTCCAAAACCAGGCTGCCAGGTCCTCAGCCTGATGTCATAAACTCTCAGTCCCCAAACAGGTTTCATTTGGTTCACACAGTTGTTCTTTTTTATTATTTCAATCAGTTGCCCACATTTAGACCTGAGATTTTACATCTAATAACCAGATTTCTAGCTTTTTTTAAAAAGGTATTCTTCCCTGGCTGGTATGGCTTAGTTGGTTGGGCACCATCCTGGAAACCAAAAGGTCACCAGTTTGATTCCCAGTCAGGGCACGTGACTGGGTTGCAGGTTTGGTCCCTCAGAGCGCGTACAAAAAGCAACCAATCAACGTTTCTCTCTCACATTGATGTCTCTCACCCTCTCTTTCTCTCTCTAAAATAAAAAGTAAAACATGTTTAAAAAGATGTTGCAACACTAGGTAACCCTGCACTCCTACAGGGCAGTGTTTTTCAACCGGTGTGCCACAAGAATTTTCAAAATACGCAGTAAGTGACTATTAAGTCAGGGGCACTGGCCTCTTTTCCTTTAGATTGTCAAGTTAAAAAATGACGACCACCAACACAATAGCCGTCCAATGTGAATGAATCAAAGTTATACCTATTTTTGTTTGTCAGACCAACAAAAACTATATTTTGTGGTGTACCACAGAATATGTGCACCATGGGATGAAAAAGGTTGAAAATCACTCCGATGGGGCCCTTATCAGCCAAGTAAGACTGCCCCCTTGAGGTGGGCCAGGCACACCGCAGCTCCCAAGAGTACTCACTGAGCCTGCTTTGCTCCTATTTGCTATCTACGCACTTGGCCCCAAAGGATTTTGACTTTTGGGTCCTGCCTTAGGTGGTCTAAGCAGATCCTTTCCTTTTGTCCCTCCCTCTCATTCCTTCTCAGCTTCATGGCTTCCCACCACAACCTCTGCAAACCATCTCAGTTCTCAATAAGCTCCTACCCTGGGCCTTCCTGAGTTGTTACAATTCTTCATAGGAAAGTCTCAGTCTGACTTGAACTAGAAGTCAAAAAGCCAGACGCGGAAGGGCCATGAGGGAGAGAGCCACTCCCCTTGCCTGACTGGCTCTTGTGCCCAGTTTGAGAGTTTTCTCCTTCTTGCAATGGAGGCGCCAGAGGCTACACGGCCCTTGAGTTCAGGCCTAGATCTAGTGAGCCCAACACACCACACGTGACGCCAACATAAGGTCAGCCTGGGCCAAAGCAAAAGCTTCAACCATAAAGGAGAAAGAGGGGTCTGCAGAGAGCGGGACCAGGTAGCCGTCACCTGGTAGGAAGGCAGCCTTACCTTTCTGGCAAATGTTCCACCCACTTTAGGTGGCCACTGGAGAGGTGATGGAGGGCAAGGGTCGTCTTCTTCAGGACCGCGACATACCTCACCGACTCCTGCAGGCCCACCAGCCCCAGTGCCTGGAAACTGAGCACAGGCATGGGGTGAGCAGCGCCCAGCGCCTCCCGAGCCTCGGGCTGAGCAGACGATCTGGATCGCTACCACTGCAGCCAGGTCGGTAAGGAAACCGGCTGTGGGATCAAACGCAGCTGCCTCTGGCGAGCTGGCCTTGATACTGCACTTTGAACCACCAGGCCATACTGCTTCCCTCAGGCCCCTTCCATCCCCTGGACCTCACAGCAGCCAGGCCAACCCTCTACCAGGGCACCCATCAGACAGTACTGTCGTTACTGGGCTACAGGCCTGCCTCCCCCAGCTGACGAGGAGTTCCTTGATGACAGAATGACAGGTTCCCACTGCCTGAGGGTTCCCCAAGTGTTTACCGAGTGACGATTGGCTGTATACGCTAATGCAAATGGCCCTATCATTTAAATAACTAAACAAAGATGTAACAGTACTTCAAGCTGTTCTCTAAACATAAAATTAAAACACTGAAAGTTTTGTATTATGTTCTTGTGTCTAGAACACAGCAAAGTTCTCAAGTCATGGTGAGATCAAGTCATGGTGAGTCAAGTACAACAAACACTGCACCCAGGTCAGAGCTCTGCGTCAGACAGGTGCTCAGTAAACACTGGCTAAGTAAACACATGTGTTTCGCAACCTCAAGAAGACCAAAAACTGGGTGTTCAATACTCTTTGGCTCTATAGTGGCCCCTGGAAAAAGTTGAAAGGCCTGGAGTTGCATCCCTGCAGATCTGTGATCCAGCGAAGCCCTGAACCAAGCCCAGATGAAACGCAGCTTCTTCCCCTCTACCTGCCACTGTCCAAGGTAATCTCCCAGTTCAGGCCCCCGATGTTAGTCTCCCAGGAACGCATGATCCGGCCTCCATTGGACACAGTGACTGCATCTGGAAGAGGAAAGACCACGGTAACGTCAGCTCCCATACTGGAGCTCTGTAGCCTCCTCGGGCCTGTAAGCTGTGGCCTCGCCTCTGATATGGGAGTGCAGACAAGAGCTATTTGCATACCTGTTCTCTCCTGTTGGGAATACCCCTTCTCCTTTCCTTACCAGACCCTGTGCAAGGAACGAACTAAGGAATGGGGAGAGGGAGTTGGCACCGCGATAGAAATAGAGCAGGACTCTGCTTACCCTGTCCATACAGCAGCATGGCGTCCACTGCCCCTTCTGCTGTGCCCTTGTCAACATGGCGCCACACTGAGAGACAGGAGAGCCAGACGTTACTACGAACTAAAGAGAGACGTCCAGAAAGAGGGGTAGGAGAGAACCAAACGGGTTTTCGTTTGCACAGCGAAGTCCCGTTTTATTTCAAGGGAGGAAAGGGCTACAGATAACTGGCAGTGAGCCGCTCCTGCTCTCTGGATAACGAGGGGAGGAGGGGTTGAGAGGAGCAGCTGCTGCCCCAGTCTAAGGGCTCTGCACTTCCATCACCACGATCACCCCATCAAGCATAGAAATGAACAATCACATGCCCTGGCTGGTGTGGCTCAGTGGAATGAGCGGCAGCCTGCGAGCCTAAAGGCCACTGGTTCGATTCCCAGTCAGGGCATGTGCCCGCGTTGCGGGCCGGGTCCCTAGCTGGGGGCGTGTGAGAACAACCAGTCCATGTTTCTCTCACACATTGATGTTTCTCTCGCTCTCTTTGTCCCTCCCTTCCCCTCTCTCTAAAAATAAATAAAATCTTAAAAAAAAAAAGAGAAATGAACAATCACAAAATTAACAAAATCCATATGATCCACAAGGAAAAGAGTGATTACATGTTACATATCCATGAAGTTAGTACCAAAAAATATCCATAAAACCAGTACAAGTAAATGGGAGGGAGGCAATCCAAACCTTCAGTGCAAGACACAGTAGTGTGTTTTTTTTGCAGAAGAATCTAATTTAGGACTACTCAGGACTTGGGTTGAGGGAATAAACTATAAAGGCCAGTTATAGGAATACATCGAATGATAAGGCTAAAAAGAAAATTGTTAAAATCCAGTAAGAGATGCATCTTTTGGCCAACCTGTCCCTAACTTGGGAACCAGCCAGGCAGACTTCACAAGCCACAGAGCATTCTGGATTCACTATGGTCAGCCATTCCATCCCGAGCTAACTGATCTACCCAGTGCACTCACAGATCTCCCCAGTCCGCGAATTCAATGCTGCAATCACATTCTTCTCTGTGGCCACAACCAACTTTTTGGATCCAGGGGAAAATTCCAAGGAGGCAAATTTGAGCTTCCCAACATACTGCTGTCTCCTAAAGAAGAGAGAAATGTAAAGGGCCAAAACCATCACTGCACAAAGCGCTTTGGAAAAAGACAACTGCACAATCACAGGTCCCCACCATCATACCTATCTTAGAACGTAGGAGAAATGCCTGTGAATGAGAAGACCTGACCCCAAGCAAGATTTCTACGCAATGTAGCCAGATGCAAAGGAAACAAAAATGTACGTAACAGATGAGAAATACAAGTCTTCCTTCTAAATGCGAGCACATATTTATCTCAAGTAACATCCAAAAGAGCACCTGGCCTAAGTCCCACTAGAACAAACATTAAGTGTCTCTGTAATCATTAATAGTGGGTCTAGGCACTCATACTACCCATTTAAAGAAGAGACACAAACCCAGTTGTCCATGAATGTACAATCCAACTTTCCCTTCTATTTTCACTGACCTCTGAACAAAAATTATGCAAATTTTCCAACAAAACTCTATAGACTGGGCCAGGCTTTGTTCTCTGCAGCCTTTTCTAGCCCACCCCATGTTCAAGATCCATTTGACCCATTATACTTTCTTGGGACTATTATCTACCTCATCACTTTCAACCCTCTTACCTAAGCATAAACAGAATGTAATTAGCTTTGTATGGCAGTCCACCAAGTACATAGGAGGCGCGTGCACATTGCTGTTCATGAAAAAGTACTGCATTCTCCAACAAGTTAATCACACCTGATGCTTACACTGAATTTCTTGTCATGGTGTTGCTTAGTCAATTTTTTTTAAGAAAATATTAAACTGGTAGTGGAGAGAGGCTTATATTACATTTTACAGTTGCTACACTATTTCTGCATACTTTATCCTCACAGTACCCACTGAACACTATGATGTAAGTAGGACAATTATTACTCTCATTTTACAGGTAAGTAAACCAAAGTCCAATGAAGTCACCTCATCACTGTCAGAGCTAGAATGTAAAACTAAGACCTGACTCTACATCTCCTGCTCATTTAAAATACTGCTATCTGGACTACAATACGCCTGTCCATTGTAGAAATGTGAAAAATATATAAAAGTATAAAGAACAAAATAAAAATGCCCCATATACCACCACCATAAACTTATTGTCTTGGTGTATTTCCTTCTGTTTATTTTTCAACTTATAAATTGCATATACCCAGTATTCTGCTAAACTGGAGTCATACTGTGTATATGCTATGTGTACATAATATTTACATATTACAGTACAAGCATTTGCCCGACTCATTAAAAATGTGACATGTTGAATTTGTCATACCTTCTTATATCACACAGTTACACAGCAGGTCGTTGGATAGCATCACTTCATTGTAACTATTTGTCATAGGGACTTAAATCTTGTTAATATCAATTAGCATATAGTAAAAATGGTTTTGATGTATGTCATTTCGTTTAAAACTGCAGAACCTATTGAAGAAGTTAAGTGAGGACTTACTGTATATTTGCCCCATGATCTCCTTCACAGCACCTGGAACCACTGACCCTCTACAGCCACTCATTAAATATGTGAATTAATTTGCCTGTTACAGAAAATATTTCACAGAGGAGATATCTGAGCTGGGCTCTGAAGGTTAAAATGTTCCCTGAATAGTAAAAACAGTGGGCAACATTTACTGACTGCACTCAAAAAGCCAGGCGTTGTGCTAATTTACGGGAATAATTCATACTTACAACTACTATAGGAGGTAATGGAGTATATTAGTAAACAATTTTACAAATAAAAAACAATTTACAAATAGCAGCACAGAGCAGTTAAGTCACTTTGCCAAGATCACACAATCCTTAAATGGCAAAACTAAGATTCAAACAAAAGCAAGCGCACTCCAGGACCTCAAGAAAGAAGGTGGGGGAAGGGAGGTGAATGAGTGAATGGCACCTGCTGATATCACAGCTGGGCTGGGCTGGGCTGGGCGGAAGGGGAAAGAGGACTCAGTTTAGGACTTATAATAACCCCCAAGGTCCTGTTCACATGCCCAAGAGATGCTAATTCGAGGAGCAATGAAAGTTCATTGAGGGCGGACGGCTTCCGATACGCAGGTCAGAAACTTGACAGTCACAGAAATGCGACCTGACGGGGAAGGAGGGACCAGTGATCTCTGACCAGAACTCCAAGCAAGCCTGAATGTCAAGCCGGCTTCACGGGCTTGCGACCTGTGCAGTCATACGGGGAGGCTTAGAAGCGCCCGGAGTTTGATTTAATGCTCTGCTGTCGACATCATAAAACTTCACTTTTGAACAAGGGTCCCACATTTTCTTTTTGCACTGGGCCCCGCAAATTCTGCAGACTAGCCGGTCCTGCTGCATAGTAACCGCCTTCCCTTTAAGCAGGCAGAATACAGGTACTAGAAAACAGCCGCATATTTCCAGAATGGGCCCACACGTACGCACCAATCAAACTTGCCCACTTGGTCTTCATAAACCGCAGCCGCAGGGATAAGTAGGGGAGCCCAGAGCCAGAATCGGGCAGCCGCCGCAACCGCCATGATGAAAGCCCGGGCCCCGCCCACCGCCCACCCGGCGTGCACCGCGCTGCAAACTCCTTGGAACCAGAGAGTTAGGAGTACACGGAAAGCCTCGGTGGGACGCTTGGGACTCAGAAGTCCTCCGACACGCGGGAAGTAGGCCTGAGGACGTGCGGAAGAGCGCAAGTAGACGCCAGGCAGAGAGAGAGAACCGCAGAGCAGATTGGGTCAGGCACGCACGAGGACAGCTCCCGAGGGCCGTCCCAGAGGCCTCCGCGCCGCCTGGGTCCTAACAGGCAACACCGCCTTCCGCCGCACGTGGCTATAGAGCGATGCCCAAATCCAAACGCGACAAGAAAGGTGGGCAAAAGGGACATCGGGACCCAGGGGGGTGGCTCCGCCGTGTGGGTGCCGGCTGCGATGGGGGTTTTGGGGGCACGGAATGGGATGTCTAGTCCTCCCCAAGGAGCTCTGCGGGCTCGCTGCTAGCAGGTAGCGGGAGCGCTCGGGGCAGGAGGAACACCCGAGGGCCTTGTAGTCTCAGTGGGGCAAGGGAACGGAAACTGGTTTGTCCAGCCTCCAGTGTTCTTCCAAAGCCTGCTGGGCTGGGAAACAGCTTCAGAGCACTCAGACTGCGCCCGATCTCGTCCTGGCCCACCTTTTCCACCTCAGCCTGTCTCCTTGGGCATTCTGCGCTTTCGCCATCCTGGCCGCCTTTCCCTTCAGCACAGACCCATTCTCGCGTCTGGCTCTTTGTACTTGCAGTTCCTGCTGCCTGGCAGGCTTACGATCCGATCTTCACACGGCTGACTCTTACTTGTCAGTTCATAGGCACCTCCTAAGAGAGCATTCCTGACGATGGTGGTGTCTCTCTCACCCTGGCTGTTGAGCACATTCACTCAACAAATATTTAGGGGCCTGGCACTCTCTAGGCATAGGAGGATATAGCAGGTACAACTAGGAAGGCGTGGAGCCCTCACTGAGCTTAACATTTTAGTCTTGGGAAGTATATCACCCCCGTAATACCAAAAACCGAGTAACAAATCACAGTGATGAGTCCCACGGAGTAAAAGTGAGAAAAAGAGATGATGTTATTTTGTATAATGTGACTAGAGAAGGTCTTCCTGATGAGGTGGCAAATGAGCAGAAACCTGAAGGAAGTAACTCACGGAGTTACCTGGATAATGGTGTTCCAAAGAGGGCATGTTTGGCATGTCCTGGGACAAGTGGCCAGTGTGGATGGAGCAGGTTGGGGGCAGATTGGGCAGGGCTTTGAAGACCTTTGCAAGGAATTGCATTTCACATCCTGGTGAAATGTGTAGCCGTGTAAGAGCTTGAGCAGAGGAATAACATGGCTTAAACTTTACTTAAAAGGTCACCCTAACTGCCTTGATGAGAATGGACTGACTAGGGTGCACGCAAGGCTGGGAGCAGCAAGACCAGCATCCAAGAGGTGATGGCACTGGCTTGGTTCACAGTTGTAGCAGTGGAAGTGATGAAAAAGGGGCCGTTGTGTTATTTGTCCCCCTGTGCTTTCTTTGCCCCAGAACCGTGGGACTCCTTTTCCGTATGTATGTCTTGTGAACAGGGACTAAATCCCAGGCAGAATAAATAAGAGGTGGCCTATTCCTGGGGGCACCCTGAGCTTTGCACCTGATGCTTTGTTAAGTCTTTATCTATTCTGTGGAGGGAGTCATGATGAGATCTGAACAATGCCAACCCCGCCTGGGTAAGGGACCATTTGGGCCCCAGCTCTTGTTACATGGGGGTGCTTTTCACCCTCCAAAGTGGCACTGCTGCATCCATGAGTCCAGAAGGCAAAAAATGTAGCAGAGAAGGTAGACGATGAGCCCCCAGACTCAGTGATTCACAGCAAAGGCCAGCCGTAGATGGTCTGTCTGCACCACAGCCAAGAGCAGAAAGGGACCGGCCTCAGCCAGCAGGCCAGGTCTGCCTGAAAGCCCGAATGAGCAGGAAGACGCTCCGCCCACACACCTCTGGACAGAATTCTAGGTTAAACTAAGAGGAGCAAAGGAATATCTAGTTTGCGTAACAGGAAATAGGTCAAAGGATCTCCAGGGTCGGGGATGCCAGAGAGAAGGCGTTCCGAGGACCCTGGGAATCGCCTCGCTGCCTCTCCTCACACTGGCTTCGTCCACCTGAGCTACCAAACACGAGAAGAAATTGAGCTTCCAGGACATCCAGATTCTCATCATGTCTTTTTCTTTTTTGTATTAGTTTCCTTAACCAAAACTGCTAAGAAAGGCTTGGAACTGAAACAGAACCTGATAGAAGAGGTAAGAGCTTCTTTTTTCTCTCTTTTCAGACTTTGTATTTGGTTTGTAAAGGTGGGTATAGGATTGTACGTTAGGGAAATATTACTGTTTAAAAATAAGAAAAGAAAGGCTGCTGGTCTGGCCCCTTTTCCTCCAGTGGCCGGCCGCACCCATAAAAACACGTATAGCGATGATTTCCCGCTTTGAGCGCTTACTCTGTGCCCTGCACAGGGCATGTTCTATATGTATCATTCCACTCCATCCTTACAGAGGAGGTGACATCATCGCTGTTTTACAGCTGGGTGACTAAAGCTTACAAAGATTTGTTAGCCTGCCTGATGTCAAAAAGCTGGGACTTAGCAGACGTGGGTAAATGCACCAACTCACTGTTTGCTCTGGTTCGGGGCTGCAGGCTGGGCGAGACAGGTGTCTCTTTCTGCACAAAGATGCTGTTTCCTTGAAACCACCTTGTCGTGGCTGCAGCCAGCATGTGGGCAGAGCAGGGCTGCCGAGCTGCCTCTCGCTAAGAATAATAATAAGGCTTCATACATTTCATTTAGTAGGCTCCTTCCTGGAGTAGCTAAGTATTTCTCGCTTGTAAACAATTAATGAATAAAGAGAAGTGGCCACAGGTAAATGAGAAACCTGGGAAGACCATGGCTTGGCTTCTCCTGCACTTTGAGGTCACACCTGCTTTGCCCCAGGGAAGTCCCTGTACGTCATGATCCAGGTTTAGAGGCGCCCTCTGCCCCTGAACTTGCAGTTCTAAGGGACCTGGAGCATATTCTTTCCCATCTGAGGCCAGAGTGTTGTCCAACCCATGGTGCCCCTTGAACTTCAGAGCCCCGTGAATTGTTCCACAGCTTCGGAAATGTGTGGACACATACAAGTACCTCTTCATCTTCTCTGTGGCCAACATGAGGAACAGCAGGCTGAAGGACATCCGCAACGCATGGAAGCACAGCCGGTGAGCCGGCAGCGGGGAGGGCCGGTGAGCCGGCAGCGGGGAGGGCCGCCCTGCCCTCAGTCAAAGCTCAGAGGCAGTTACTGACCCCTGGGTACCTGGGTCACACAGATGGCATTTGGACAAGGACAAAGTGCCATGCCCCCCACTGAAGGGCACTTCTCAACCGTAATGCCTAGCCCTGCACCGAGCTCCTTGGTGGTTGCTCAGGGAGTGTTTCCGCATTAATCCCTTGCGGAGAAAGGGCTCCCTTGCCCCTGGGGTCTGGTCTTTGTAGGAACAGCCTTTCGGTTTTAGAAAGACAGGATGTGCTCTGGGATGCAACAGTGACCTGGCAGCAGGCTGTAGAAGCCATGTGGCAAGTACCTGTCCTTGGGCTGGAAATGTGACAGTCCGGGTGGTGATTGTAGCACCGTTGTGCCAGTCTGGTTCCGACCATTAAACAGGCCTCTTCCATACATGCAGGCAGGGAAGGCAGGTTATCCACATGGCAGCCACAGTGGGCTGGTGGGCAGAATACTGTACGCCAGGCCTGTAGGCAGGAAAATAGCGAAAGGGACCCTGAGCTGGTGACAGTGGGCAGGGCTCCACAGAAGAGGTGGGGACCTCTGGGCACATCTCCAGCCCCCAAGCAGGACTGAAGCTGGTTTGCACTCAGCTGAGGGGGGGCTGGCAGGCCACGTCCTTCACGGACCCCTCTTCTCTCTGTAGGATGTTCTTCGGCAAAAACAAAGTGATGATGGTGGCCTTGGGCCGAAGCCCATCTGACGAGTACAAAGACAACCTGCATCAGGTGAGTCTCTGGCCCTCACTGAGAGGGGGCCAAGGCATCTTGTCTCCTGCTTCTGTCCCATGACACATGCCAGCCAGCGGGCTGGCCGGGAGGTTGGGGGTGGGGGACAGTAGCGAGGCCTGGCCTCAAGTTCCGGTTCTCCTTTAACCTCCAGGTCCAATGAGGAGGCCCCCCCCCACACACACCCAGCTGTGACAATCAAAAATGTCTCCAGGTGTTGCCAGATGGGCGGGCTCAAAGTTGTCCCCAGTTGAAAACCACTGGTCCAATGTGACCAGACCAACCCACTTTTGTTCTTCAGGTCAGCAAGAAGCTGAGGGGTGAGGTCGGTCTGCTTTTCACTGACCGCACTAAGGAGGAAGTGAATGAGTGAGTGTGCCCGAGGACTGGTGGGGAAGGGAAGGCGGGTGGGGCTCTGGGGAAGGAATCATCCAGGGGCTTTGTACAGTGGAGACATCAGGTAAGAACCTTCCTGAGTCTGTACTCCCAACGTGGTGCCCCAGGCTGGCTGCCACCCACAGCCAGATGAACAGAAAGGGGAGGGGAGGGGAGACCCAGGGTGGGCCGGGCGGGCCAGTCAGGAACCCTGCCTCGAACCACTGCTGGTTCCCCTAAGGTGGTTCACGAAATACACGGAGATGGACTATGCCCGCGCTGGGAACAAAGCAACCTTCACCGTGAACCTTGACCCAGGGCCGCTGGAGCAGTTCCCCCACTCCATGGAGCCACAGCTCAGGCAGCTGGGGCTGCCCACTGCCCTCAAGAAAGGTACGGGAGTCCCTGGATGGGAAAGGTCGCAGACTAAGGGCCAAGAGCGCAGGCTCTCAAGCCCGACAGGCCTGCCTTCCCCTTTCTGGCTGAACAGGTTGTTTCTGCCAGCTTCCATTTTCTCATGAAAAAGCGGGGCTGAGTGCCTGCATTGTGGGTGGGGTGAAAGTGGGCAGTCACTGCCAGAACAGAGCATTACGGGACAGTGCAGGGGGCAGTCACTACTCCCTGAATACGCCTGCAGGCCACCACACACTGCTGATTAATTGGTGCCCCAGTGTGTGCTGAGTCGGGGGGTTTGGGGGACAGGTGGTCGGGCAGCTCTGCCAGAAGTAACTGCTTGCCTTCCCTGTAGGTGTGGTGACCCTGCTCTCCGACTACGAGGTGTGCAAGGAGGGCGACCTGCTGACCCCAGAGCAGGCCCGCATCCTGGTGAGTCGGCCGGGCCCCTCCCAGGAGTCTGCGGGCTGTGGCTGGAGTGACCACGGACGGGTCACACTCGCTCCTCCCAATCCTGGGTTCCTTTTGTTTCTTGCAGAAGCTTTTCGGGTATGAGATGGCTGAGTTCAAGGTGACCATCAAGTACATGTGGGATGCACAGTCTGGAAGGTTCCAGCAGATGGGAGATGACTTGCCAGAGAGCGCATCCGAGTCAGCAGAAGAATCCGAGGACGACGCCGACTGCTGACGGACCCCGACCGGTCCAGGCGCCACCCAGCCATGTGGGGCCGCCGCCCCTCCTGGGCAGCAGCTGTTTGCTGTGGACGAAGACAACGAGGGGCACGAGGGACAGACTGTTTTCCTACAAAGAATAAAACTGTCTGCAGGGTGTCTCCCTGTAGGCGGCGAAAGGAACTTTCCTCAGAAAATAGGCTTTGGGGTTCGACTTTTGTTTGGATTCCAAGGGTTCCTTTTTTTCACCTCGCAAATCAGCTTCCAAGCCCTGGTTCCCGCCTGGCCCCTGGGGACGGAGAGCAGCCACCCCAGCTTTGCGTCCCTGGCCCTCAGTGCCCTTGCTCCATTTGGGGATTTGCTGAGAAAGGCAGGCGCCGGGCTGCCCTTCTTATCCCTCCACACACACCTCCTCTCCAAAGCCAGAGCTGAGAATCTGGGGTAACCAGATGACCAGAGGCTTCAGCTCAGCCAAGAAGAGCAAAGCCCCTGCTGAAGCAGAGAGAGTATGTTAACAATGCCCCATAGCATCCCAGAAGTTCTCTAATGATAGAGTTTTGTCCAGATTGTTCTATTTGTAAATAATTCAGCAAGGGCATTACCACATGAGAAAATCTGCTTCAGGTGGTATGGGTGGCCCGTCTTCTGTCAAGTATGGAAGGGCCACCTTCAGTCCTGCTCTTGAGAGGTGAGGCTCAACTCACCACGGGAGGCAGAGAGCCTCCCACTGCCTCTGCCCCTTGGAGATGAGGCCGCCCTCCTGTTCCCTCCTCACCAAGCCCTTGGGCAGGACAGGAAACAGGCTGCTGGTAGCAGAAGAAACAAGTCCACCAGGTTGGCTCGGCCTGGGCTACCCCAGGTCAAGCGCCTGCTTTATTTGGCCGGGAAATCCAGCCTTTACACTTTGTGAAGGCAACAGGGAGTCACATGAGAGTACAGGAAACAAATGGTGGGCTGAGATGAGGAAAGAAAAGGCTACATCAGCTTAAGGCCAGAGTGAGAAATGAAAGGTGGCAGACGTGGTGAACCCGCTGCCACCCCAAGTCAGGACTGGGCCTAACGGAAGTAGTTGGGACATTCGTGGGCAACCAGGTGCCAACCCTGATCGAAGGCCTGCACGACAGCGGGATCCAGGGGCCCCTCCTCAGTCGCTGCCAGGTTCTGTTCCAGCTGCTCTGGGCTGGACATGCCCAGGATGACCGCGTCCCCCTGGGCACCCTGGAAGGGGAGATGGTGGCCAGAGGTCGACACGCCAATGCAGCGACTCCAGTCCTGCACATCGCCCCCCGCACCCGCCCTCGCCCTGCTGAGATTGGGGCTCGGATGTCTGTCTGTACCCTCCAGTATTCCAGAAAGATCATCTTGCCTTCAGACAGCTCTGGAGCCCTGCCTCCCGTCTCACCAGAAGACAGGCCCAAAGTTCAGAGCCACTGAGCAGCTGGGTAAACCTGGGTTAGTTAATGACCTCTCTACTTTGCAGGCTGATTGTGGGATTTAAAATTTTGTGAAGTACTCTGCTTCAGGCCTGCCACTTGACAGGCGCTCGATAAAGGGGAGCCATACAGTGCCGAAGCTGGAGGAAGGGACATGGGACAGGAGGGGAGGGAAACCCTACCAGCTACAGAGCTGGACTCTGTAACAGTGGGCTGCGAAACAGGAAAAACGCTAATGGATAAAAACGTAGGTGTCAGGTGTCCATACCCAGTCTCATGCAGCCGTGGGACCCTGGTCCAGTGAAGTGGCCTCTGGGCCAATTTCCTCATGTAAAACTGGGATTCTACCTTAATGCAGCCAACAGTGTTCGTGGCAAGGCACTTAAGGAACTTAAAAACAAGATACGCTCTGGCCAGTGTGATTCTGTGTATTGAGCACCTGCCTGCGGAATGCAGGTCCTCAGTTGGATTCCCAGTAAGGGCACAGGCCTGGGTTGCGGCCCAGGTCCCCAGTTGGGGGCACATGAGATGCAGCCACACATGGATGTTTCTATCCTCCTCTTTTCTCCCTCCCCTCCCCTCTTAAAAAAAAAAAGGTAACCACCCAAAAGAGCTGGGCCACAGAGAAATTTCGGAGAAAGAAAAGGAGTAAGCACCAAATAATTGTGTAGTCCTGTCCCTTCTTCCGTCCCCCACTACCCCCCTCCAAAAAAGGGGGAACAGAAGCAGCACCTCCCAGGACAGGACAGCTGGCTTACCTGGAGCTGCGAGTGGTGGTACATCCAGCGTAGGGCAGCTGAGGTCATGCTGGGGGTGCTGGTGCCATAGGCAACCTGCAGGGCCTTCTCCACCAGGGCGATGGCCTCAAAGTGGTGCTCCTTCCAGAAGCTGGGCAGGAGGGGGAGTGGCACCAAGGTCAGCATGGGGGCAGGCACGCTGGGGGCCACAGGCACAGAGCCGAGCTGGGCGGCCTTGGCCATGCCCACCCCACAGCACAGAGGGGCCGGTGTCCCCTCCAGCAGCAGGCCTCTCGCTTTATTAGGCAACAGAGCCACTCGGGGGACAGCTCCCTCACCCGGCACCTCCACGACACCTTCGTTCCCAGGCACTTGAAGCCCACCCTCACTTTACCAGCGGACGCAGGTAGCTAGTACAGGGGCAGGCGCCAGGCCCTGAGCCTCCGTCCGGGGCTCTTCACTTCCCTCCCGGCAGGCGATAAGCACGTCTCGGGGAACAGCTGTGACCTGGACCACCGGGCACGGGATCCAGGGATCCTCGTTTCCTCCCAGCGATCCCAAGAAAGTAAGAAACCCCACAGAGGGTTTGGTCCAGGCTGCGAGGGAAGGCAAGCAGCCTAGAACTTCTCCGTTCAGGTAAGAGGGACCCTGCCCTCTTTACCCACCTAAGGCAGACACCCCCAGCTCACCGATTCCTGTAGGTCTCAGCCCAGTTATTTCCAAAGAAGCGGCCCACAGGTTGTTTCCCGTCCTTGTCTTCATACTTGTACTTGCCGGTCAGCAGGCCCCCTGCAGGAAGGCTGCCCTCAGGCTCCCTGACCTGCGCTGCTCCCAGAGGCTGCTCTGGCCTCAGGGGAACGGTGGGGACACCAGGAGGGATGGAGGACACAGCCCGGCCTCTTGTCAGACCCCTCCCTGCTTCCCAGGGCCAGGAGTGCCCACCCGCCTGAGGAAGGTGGGGAGCCGGAGGCTATCCCCATAGCAGCGCCTACCAGCCAAAGGGTTGTAGGCATAGAATCGCAGTCCGAAGTGCCGGAGACAGGGGAGGAGCTCCGTCTCCACCTGCCGGGTGGTGGCGTTGTACATGCCCTGCAGGCAGAAGGCCAGCTGAGAGGGTGCACGCACCCAGGGAAGCAACCCCGGCTGCCTACTTTTACACCCTTCGGTCAAAACCTGCCCAGGACTTCAGCGATGACTTCAGCGATGACTTCCCAGGTCACTAGCGCTGGTAGGGGATGGGGAGACAGGGCCCGACCCCAGGAAGGGAAACTGGACTGGAGATACCATTCCACAAATATCTGTGGGCTGGACCCTGGGTTTCTAAACAGTTACTTGCTAGAGTGAATCTAGCAAGGTCTCTGTCCCCAAGGAATGTTAGAGACAAGTTAAAAACCAGAGGGGAGACAGGTAATCACAATAAAGGCGGATTCTCCAATTACTGCTGCTGCTCACAAACCCTGGGTGGGTGAAGACGAGTTCTGGAGATCAGGGGCCCCGCTGGTGCATCAGGAAAGGCTTGAGGAGGAAGAGGGCCTCTAAGTGAAGCCTGAGCACTTCGACCAGGGAGAGGGCGGGGGAGGGTTCCAGGCTGGTGCGCGGAGCAAGGAAGCAGGGAGGATGGGGCCAAGGTGTTTCTGCAGGCAGAACAGGGAGCCGGAGCCGGAGCCGGCAGACATTCTGGTGGCCGGGCTAGGGAGCTGGCACGTCACCCTGAGGGCACCCTGCAGGCTGTGAGCAGGAGAATGGCTGCCAAGGGGAAGGCATGGGGCAGTCAGAGGGGCCGAAAGAGGTGGGGGTCAGCAGAAGCCCTGCCTGCACCTGGTACACCGTGGGAAGGACCCAGCCGTTGCTCTTGCAGAGGGTACAGATTTCGGCCACCTCCCAGGCGGCATAGTTGGAGAGGCCGAGCTCCACAAACTTGCCCTGCAGGGAAGAGGCAGTGGTCAGAACCCAGCGCAGTCCAGCAGACCAGGCAGGGAGGCCATGGTAAAGACCCTGGAAGTGGGGACGGTCCCCAGCTCTGCTCTGGGGCAGCCCTGGAGCCTCCACTCGCCTGGGAACGACAGACCAAAGAGAGGGGCTGCAGACCTCCTCTTGGAGCCCGGGGCGCCACCCTCACCTCCTGGTGCAGCTGGTGGCAGGCGCGCAGCGTTTCTTCCACGGGAGTGTCGTGGTCAGGTGCATGCAGGTAGAAGAGGTCCACGTGGGGGCACTGCAGTCGTTTCAGTGATGTCTCCAGCTGGGACCGGAGACTGTCCGGCTTCAGTGACTTTCCATCCCAGGGATTGGCCTTGGTAGCAATTTTCACTTTGGAGGGAGAACATAATGGTTAAGAGATTTATTATAACCACTTATTAACCAGGTGACCCTGGCAAAATTATTTAAGTTCTCTGAGCCTCAGTTCTATAATCTGTAAAAAGGGGGTGATGGTAATGGCACTGTTTTCACTGGGAGATCATGAGGATAAAGTATATGATGTTACATGCAAGTCCTCGATGTTCACTGCCGCTGCAACTATCATTGGCCATCAAAAGGCTGGCTGTGCTGAGCCGTGCACTGGAGGCTCCATACACAGATGAACTAAACACGCTCGCTTGGTCTCTACTCTTGAGAAGCTCAGTCTGTAAGGTGGTATTACAATGTTAAAATACGCTACGCCAGCAGAGAAAAGCACCCGTGCAAAGGAAGCCCAAAGAGGAGGGACTGCTGGGGAAGGCTTCCTGCGGGATAACCCCCAGCTGAGTCTACAAGAAGGAGTTGCAGTCAACAAGAAAGGATGGGAAATGCATTCCAGAGGGTGGGATCGCAGGCAAAATCCAAGAGACGGCAACAGAGTAAGTGAAGGGCCATACTTGGCAATTCTGAGTTAGAAGAGTTGGCAAAGGCAACTCAGCAGGTCAGGGGGAAGTCATCAGACCACTGCACATGAGGAAACAAGTCCCACAACTTTTCGACCAGATACCCCCCTCACGCTTACTGTGAACTCTGCCTCACATCTGACCTTTGGACGTCAGCCCAGTGAGTGCCTGGCCTCCAAGAAGGAACCAGGGAAGGGCTGGAGGAGAAAAACCAATTCAGAAACAAAACCTTCATTAGCAAAATTTTTAGTTTCAGGTAATAGCTAGTAAGCTTAGTAATCAATGCATGTAAAAAGCTATTGTTCCAGGAGCTGAAGGTATGACCCACCTAGACTCCAGGAGACCATAAGCAGTCCCACCTTTGTGCCTCAGGAGGACTGCAAGCCATCAAGGTGGAACCTGAGCCACTGTGCTCCAGGGTGAGACGCCCACCACCCAGGACACAGATGAAAGAATGTGGCAGCTTTTAATCTGATTAACTTTTTCCTGAATTCCAAACCCTTTATCTATGCTTTTCTTCTTATAAAAAGGGTCTTATAAGATAGGGTTAAAATGGAATTTAAGATGGCCTGTTAGGGTACAAACCCACCACCTTCTTAGATCACCAGCCACCTGAATAAAGTTCGTATACAGATTCAATCCCTGTCTCTGCCTACTGCGTCTGGTAGGTGACGGGCAGCACGAATGCCGGCTTTTCCAGTTTCATTCGCATTCCGCGCCTCCAGACCCACCAAGCTACGGCTCTAAGCAGGACACAGAGGGGAAGCCCCACACATCAGGCACTTCGCATTGCCAAGCCCAGTCTTTGCACAGCTGTGCCCTCCCTCAGCCCTAATGCCCCTTTCTGTCATTCTCTGCCCAGCAAACCACTGCAGGTCCTTTAAGGACCAGCTCCAGTGTTCTCTGAGCCTTCCCTAGTGCCTCTCCCAGTCCTGGCCATCCTGCCCGCTCCCTTCCTTCCCCCAGAGTGCCTCTCCCTCTGGTTCCCCAAGTTTCACTGGCTCCAGCCTTCCCCACTGCACTCTGAGCTCCCTGGGGGTGGCTTAGGGTCACTTTCCCTCCTATGACCACATCACAAAGCCTGGCCTGGGGCTACCTTACCTGTTTCTCACATCTCCATCTCTGCTCCCCCAGCCCAGCCTGGCCTACTGCATAGCTACAGCTCTCCCTGAGAGCACCAAGGGGACTGCCAACTGAACAGAGCAAAGTCTGTTCAGCTGGCAGTCCTGATGAAAGAACAGGATGAGTAAAGGGTGCTGAGAGCGCGCATGGGTGGTGAGGGCAATGGGGACAGGGACACCCGCAGAGTGCCTGGGGCCTGGTTATGAGCACCTGGCAGGACTGGAGACGAGTGCCATAGAGACCACTAAAAAAGCAATAGGAGTAGAAAACCAAGGGCTAGACCAAGCTCGGGGTAACACTTGGGAGTTTCCGAGTTGCAACTCCTAGGAAGAAGAGAAGGTGAAGGTGACCAGGGCAGCACTGCCGGCCTGTCGGGGCAAGATGTGCACCGGGCCTGAGGAGCTCGGGATTCAGTTCAGAGTTGCGGGGCGGCTAGGGGAGGGGACGAAGCTCTCGGTCCCCACCGCGGTCGGTGCATCAAGGCTGGGGTCGGGTCAGCGACCTGCACGGTGCAGAAGGAAAGTCAGGGGGCCGGGCGCGGGCGCTGGGCGTTACCTCTGCAGTCGCGGCCACCCAGCCCGAACCCCAGGCCGCCCAGGATGCTCTCGGACTGGCCGTTGCTGTACATGAAGGCTGTGTCCAGTTCGGTGTGGCCGCGCTCCAAAAAGGCGCGCACAGCCGCGGCGCTGGCCGGCGCGTCCATCCGGCGCCCCATCTCCATGGTGCCCAGCACAGTGGCAGGCCGGACCGGGACGCCCGAGGCAGACCGTGACGGCCTGGACATGGCGGCGGCGCTGGTAGTGCGAGCCTGCGGCGGCCCGGGGCTTCGCGCACAGCGGACCGTGGCGCGGGCCACAGAGCGAGACGCGGCGCGGAGCATGGGGTCCGCGCCTGCGCGCTGGGGAGCCTGGAACCCCGCCCACCGGCGCCGGGAGGAGGTGGCCGGGAAGCACGACTGCGAGCGTGACGCCCCTTCACGCACGCTTTGCTCGCCAGCGTCGCCCCAGAGACCCAGCGACGAGTTCGCGGCGCGAGAGGCGGAGCCATGAGGTTCGAGGGCGGGGCGGGGTGGTGCCTCAGGTCAGCTGACCCAGGCAGGGGAGACACTGCCCAGAAGTCCCCCCGGGCGGCGGATTGGACGTGGTGAGGCGGTTTGAGGCTTGGGGCAAATACAAGGCTGCAGATCGGGGCTCTAGAGCTTCCCTGCCACGTCGTTACAGCCCCCGGACCGTCCTGGGGCACCTGTTCTCTCCTTTGGAGCGCAAGATCCTAGGTGAGGATTTGAGCCGGGATAGGGTGGCCCTCGGGGGGCTGGAGTCCACCTCTTCAGGAGCGACCAGCGTGGCCTCTCGGATGGGCCTGGCCAGGGTTTGGGGTCTGGGTCCCGGATTCTGAGGGCTTTGTTTTCCCCAGGGCGGGCCAGGGGAGGGGGCCTCTCGGCGATTGAGCGCTGACCCCAGCGGCAGCCCTGTCATTATCCCCGCCGAACAGGCGTCCGGCGCTGGGCTGAGTCACGAGTTGGCCCAGAACCTGGAGTTCTGGAGGCGATGGTAAACACAAGCCGGGACGCGCCTCCCCACCACGCATTTCCCAGGTGTGCGAGGAACCCAGGTTGCCTTCTCCCCACGCCATACCTGGGCTGGGTTTGAGAGTGTGAGGGTTGGCGCCAGTCTTGCCCATTCAACACTTGCTGAAGGCTGCTGTGTGCCAGGGACCCTGGAGCGGGGCTTGGGGGAGCGCTACGGGCGGAACAGAATAAGGGTCATCCGTGGCTATTACTACTGAGTGTTTAACCTGTGCCAGGCACCGTTCTAATCACTTGGCCTACAGTAGCTCATTTATCTCCGCAGTCAGCCAAGGAGGTGGAAACCTGCAGTTCCCCCCATTGTACAGATTGGACCTCTAAGGCTCCATCACTTGCCCAAGAGCCCTGTGCTTGCAGGCATCAGGCAGGTCAGTTCTAGAGTGCTTTCCGCTCCGCCTTCAGCCATCCGAGCTCATAGCGGGATCTTTTCTTGTCTTTCTCCCTTCCCCCATTCCTCTCTCAACATTTTTACTATGCAGCTGGTGTGTCTAGACGCTCAGCTTACACTTAGGGTGAAGGGGAGAAGCGGGCTGAAAGAGCAATGATCGCGGGGAGTGTGATAAGTATTCTTCAGGTTTGTGCACCAGGGAGGGGGAGGGGTGGCAGGTGTTGTCTCCCCAGCCCCCATAAAGCCTCTTTGAGAGGGCAGTTTAGAACTTGATCTTAGCGCTTCTACCAGGCCCCCCACAGGGCTATTGAAGGCCTGCACCGGGGACAGGAGGCGAAGGTGGGGAGCAATTATTCAAGTGCTTCGGGGCTTTGCCTCAAGGAATGTGGACTTAATCAGAGAGATGCAGGTCACTTGACCAGCTTTCCTTGCCTCAGTTTACCATCTGGGAGAGGAGCATGGGTGTGGCAGGAGATGCCTTTCCACTTCTCCAGCACAGCCTTTCTCAAAGTGTGGCCACGTGCATCAGAACCAGCTGGGGGAGCCTCTCAAACCCAAGGTCCCTCATCCCCAACCCAGACGTGCCGATCCTGAATTCTGACCATGTGCCCTCCTCGATTCTGAGGCACCGCAGCGCTGGTCCCTGTCAGTCCTACAAATGCAGTCGAGCTTTGTTTCAACTCTGGACATCCATTCACTCGGTGCTGTTTGGCCAGGTGGGCCCAATCCAGAAGCCTGGCCTGGGGCCCAGGCTGGCTCCCCTCTTGAGTCCGAACCTGTGGCTGACAGGCCCTGTGCACAGCGGCCCTCAGTGGAAGACACCTTCTGTTCTGGGTTCAGGCACCTCTCAAAGCATCCTGAGCCCTGAGCGGCACAACAGCCTTGGACATGGCAGGGGACCACCGACCCAGGGCCCTGGGCCCTGTGAGCCAAGGCACATTCCTCAAGACACCCCCTTCCTCACTGGACACATATCCACCTCATTTCTTCCCAACCTGGTGAAAGCAGGGAGTGAGGGGGTGGCCCCAGGGCTGCTGAGATATGGGACTCTTACCCACGAAACAACCACTACCAGGCACTGGGCTCAGAGCTTTCTGTGCATTTCATTTGCACAAACAACCAAGAAAGGAGCGTCATTATCCTCATTTATAAACAGGCTCAGACAGGTTACTCACTTGTCCAAAGTCACTCAACCTTACCTGTAAAAGGGGGACAGTATTCCCTGCCTCCCAGGAAGGTGATGAGGATGACAGTGTCCATTTGGGATCTGCGAGAGGAAGGGGGGAGGCTGTCCAGTTTGGGGACGGCTGGGGAACAAACGGCATCTTGGCATTGCAAAGATGCAGCTACCTGCATGTTAACGCAGGGTGGCCTTGCAGGTGCTGGTGGCAGGACAGCAGGTGTTCAAACGGTTGCAACATCAGCAGTGCTAAAGGTCATCAGGGTGGGTAACCAGGAGACAGGAAGAGGCTTTCAGTCATGCGTGCTGGGCCCTGGAGGCGCTGCAGCGAACCAGGTGGACAGCGACCTGTGGCACCCTTGTGTCCCGCTGGGGGCCTCTGTCCACTACCAGCCACATTAGGGCTGAGAGCCTAGAGCTTCCTGAGAAAAGAAGCTGACTCGCTTCCTTTCCCTCCCTGACAGCCTCAGGCACCGTGACCTCAGCAGTTCCAGTGTCCCCATCAGGATGCCTCTACCAGCCGCCGCACAGGGGGTGGCTTATACACACACATATATTTGGCGCTGGCAGATTCAGTGTCTGGTGAGGGTCCACTTCCTATTCACGGATGGCTGTCTTTTCGCTGTGTCCTCATGTGGCAAAGAGAGAAACAGAAAGGGAGAGGGTGAGGGAGGGGTTCCACCCTCCTGACCTTCAGGTCACTTCCCAGAGGCCCCACCTCTGAACACCACCACACTGGGTGTTAGGCTTCCACATAAGAATTTCGGGAAGACATAAATGTTCAGTCTGCAGCTCCGGGCACCACTTTCGGGAGGATCCCGGGCCTCCTGACAGAACTAGGAACTGAAGGTAGAAGGAGGAGCCTCGTGCAGGGGTTGGGGGAGGAAAACCCCTCTGAGCAGTGAGAAAAGGGGAAGCCTGCCGCCTGGCTGTGCAAGAGCCGAGCAGCAGCGCCAGACCACAGGAGGGGTGTGCTGCACCCAGGGACAGAAGGCCCGAGGCAGCGGGGCCTGGTGGCTTTGAGCAGGGGTCTGGGTCCTGGTCCTGGCTCTGACTCATGGCTCTGCTACTTCCTGGCTGGGTGGCCCTGGCAAGCCACTTTCCTGGTTCCTCTACTTTATAGAGTTGATATGAGGACAAAAGGCATAAATGCACACAAGGCACTTAGCACAAAGCTGGCGGGGAGCTCACTAATAGGGCTATGACGATTCGCTGGGCAGAGATGGCGTCACCTGGCTCCACTGTCTCTTCCTTGTTGAGGGTTGTCACACAAGCAATAACTGCTCCAGTCACTGCGGAGTGCCCGAGTACGGGGAGGGGCCTCCCCTGCCCGCCCCCATGGCCGGCCGGCCAGCCATCTTCCAGCTCCGGCGGCGGGTGAGATGGGGAGCCGGCTGGGGCTCCTTGCCAGCAGGCGCCCCACGTGGGGGCTCCCGGGAGAACGCGGCTCGAATCCCAGCCACCTGCGCAACCTCAGGATTCCCCTGGTCCTTATTTTCCACCTGCCTCATCTAACTGCTGATGGAAGAAATGGCCAGACCTATAGAGAGCTTTTATAAGAGTTTATTTGAGGCAAACTGATGACATATGCCAGAGATCAAGATCTCAAATGCTCCAGGGAATACCATCTTGCAGCTTCTTTTATGCATTTGAGGTTAAGGAGGGAATATAAGAAAGATTACAGGAGGGCAGGAGAAGGCAAAGTCGGCATCATATTACAGACTTAGGTGCTTTCTTTCTTTCCTTAAGATTTTAATGATTTATTTTTAGAGAGAGGGGAAGGGAGGGAGAGAGAAAGGTTGATGTGTGAGAGAGACGTCAGGCTGTTGCCTCTCACACGCCCCCAACCAGGGACCTGGCCCACAACCCAGGCCTGTGTCCTGACTGGGAGTCGAACCAGCAACCTTTGAGTTCACAGATCTACGCTCAACCCACTGAGCCACACCAGCCAGGCAAAAGCCCTTTTTCATCCACAGACCCTCGCAGCATAATTTACAATAACAAAAGATTGGAAAGAATCTGAACATTCAAGTTAAAACACAAGTGACATGTCTGAGGACTCAGTTCCCCATAGGGTTTTAGGAACTCATTTGACTCTCACAGCTGTGTGAGGGAAGTGCTGTTGTCACCAGTTTACAGATGAGGGAACCGAGGCGCAGTAGCAGTGTTAATGAGAGTTAAGATGGTATGTGAAGGCACGGCCCCTGCCTGCAGCTTCCTGCATGTGGGGTTGCCGGGGGTTTGCTTTGGTCTCTATACTTGAGGCTGATAGCGTCCTTTGGTCCAGGCGCTTACTCAGTGCCAGGCGATAAGGCGGGCTGGGCTTCGGTCGGGGACACCGTGACTGGGACCCAGACCTCCCAAAGGCTGCAGCCCCGCTGTCTCTCTCCCTGCAGAGCCCTCGCCTGCCCCAGTGCGCCAGCGCCCGCCCTCCCGCGCTCTGCAGCCATGGTCTGGCAGAAACTGGGCCCCGGCAACTTCTCCAGCTGCCCCAATGGCTCCCGCCAGTGGATATGGGACGTGTTCGGTGAATGTGCCCAGGACGGCTGGGACGAGGCCAGCGTGGGCCTGGGCTTGATCTCCATCCTCTGCTTTGCGGCGTCCACCTTCCCGTGAGTAGTGCCGGGGTGGCAGGACCAGGGAGTGTCTGCAGGCTGGGGTGGTGGCCCCAGGGACTGCAGGAGAGGGGGCTGCCATCTGGCCATGGGTCCCCCCAGACTCAAGGCTGAGTGTGCTCCCCGCCACCCCCACTCACAGGCTTCCAGCCTGCCCCGGGGGCCTGCCCGAAACCCCACCCAGGCCTCGCCTTGGGCTGTGCCATGCTGGCCCCCACATGGTAATGACAAAACTTGCTACTGTTTTTTTGAGTGCCCACCAAGCACATGGCTCGGTTCTAAGCACTTAACTTGTTTTTAGCTTATGTAAGCCTCCTAGCAACCTAGTGGAACAGATACAGTTACCATCCCTATTTTAGGAGGAAACAAAGTAAATGGCTGTAGGCTGCACAGCTAGTAGGAGAGGAGGGGGAGAGGTGGAAGGGCTGGGATGCATCAAACAGGGCGCCTGTCCTGTGAGTCTGGAAGTGGCCGAGCAGTGATGACAAAATAGCGTGGCCACCGCTGTGGTCAGGGAACAGAATATGCTGCGTAAAAGCTCTTGGTCACAGCACGTGGTTGGGAGCCTGGGCTCTGGGTGTGGACGGGGTGAATTCCGCCTGCAGCTGTGACCTGGGCCCCTTGGCTGTGCTGCGCCTCCGTTTCTCATCTGAAAGGCAGGAAGTTCATTCCCCAGCCTACAGGGCTACCCCGCGGATGGCAGGAGGGAGCGTACGTAAAGCCTTTACACACGTGCGCCCAAGCCCACAACTGGACAAAGCGCGCAAGGGCCGCTGTCCCGTCAGGGCGTCCTCCACTCTTAGGGTACCTGCTCTTCACCCTGAGGGACCACGGCGAGGGTTCCATTAGGGACCTGACCTTTTTAAAAAACACCTTTATTGAAAGATAGTTCACATCCCCTACAATTAGCGCATTTAACTGTGTCATTCCCAGAGTTGTGTGACCGTCACCACACTTAGTTTTGGAACATTTCATCACCGTAGAAAGAAAGCAAGCCAGAAGGGAGCGAGCCATGGCTCCTCCCCCACCCGCGGGCCCCACGTCCTCCCGGCCTCTGCGGGTCAGCCTGCTCTGCACAGCCCACGCAGGTGGCGTCGGCAGTGCGAGGCCTTTTGTGACTGGCTTCCTTCACTTGATGGAACGTCTTAAAGGTTCTCCACATTAGAGCGTGAATCAGTACTTCCTTCTTTTTTATATGCTCCGCGGTGTGTGCCCCCAGTGTTTACTCGTGCGGCCGTTCATCAGTGGACGTGCAGGTTGTTTCTACTCCGTGGCCGTTATGGGTTGAGGCTGCCAGGTACGTTCATGGACAAGCTTCTGTCGGGGCATATTTTTTCCTCCTCGTGGGTACGTACCTAAGGAGTGGAATTGCTGGGTCATAAGGTAACTACACGATTAATCTCTCGAGGAGCTGCTGTTGCTGGTGAAAGCGAGTGCTTCTGCCGCCCCGTGGTTTGCGGGCTGGAAGCACAACGAGTCAACGCACGGAGTGTGGTGAAGGAGAGAGAAAAGCTGAGGGTTCTCAGAGTGAAAAATATAGTCTCGAGAAGGATCAGTCCTGTGTCCTTAGCCTCTGGATTGGTCCAAGGTCGTAATCCTGTAGGCGACCAGAGGGTTGTTGTCTGGGGCTTGAAGTATATTCAGGTATTGACACCGGACTGGAAAGCTGGAAAATGTAAGCTCCCAGGCTCCCGCCTCAACCCACTCGGTGTTAGTCATTTAGCAGCCTGGCTGAAGTGACTCCATTTTACCTCCTCACTCCATTCCTCAGCATTTTCACTGAATTGCCTTGTTTTGGGTGCCATACTGGGTATGACACAATTAATTAAACAGATCCTGCCCCGGCCTTTGCAGACCTTCCATCCCAGCCCTCTTTACATAGACTACCTGGGAGTCACTGGGAACACACTGGAGGCCGTCTAACAAGCGGTGATGGCAGGGGCCCTTGGGAGGCAGACCGGACAGACCTGGGTGACAGTGACCGAGGGAGCGAGGCTCCCTGTCGTAGAGGGAGAGCTTCCTTGGAGCCATCGGAGGAGCTATTCGAGGAGGCTTCCCCTTCCTGCCGTGGCATCACGCCGGCCTTGCCAGGGTCTGGCTGAGTAACCAGGGAAGGGGTCACAGACCCGGGAGACAGTCCTGAGTGACGGCAGAAAGGACAGCCACCATCCTGCTTCTCTTTAGGACTCAGCCTTTCCTGAGTGTGATAAAATTATTTTACCTGTAATTTATGGAGATATGGCAAGTCACCGTATCCTGAAGGAGCTTTGTGGGGCACAGAATAGACCTTAGTTAGGGGTCTCCTCAGTGCCCTCTCTGTGCTAGGCGCTGTCCCTGCCCTCAGGAGGCTGGGGTGCCGGGGCGCCCAGGGTGTCGAGTGCTAGGGAGGAAGACGGAGAAGATGCCAGTGAGCTTGCGTCAGGGGGGCCCTGAGGAGGAACTGATAGTACCAGAGAAGCAACAGGTGGTGAGGGGGCAGGGCGGGCCCCCCACAAACCAAGAGCTCAGAGGAAGCAAAGGTAGTCCCGGCGGTGGAGGAGACTGGAGCTTCGCGGTCAGGGTGTGACTCCTGGACCCCCACTGAGCTGCGTGACCTGGTCAGCTGCGCCCCCACTGAGGAGCGGCCTCAAAATAGACCTGCGCACATGGGGCCCCGTGAGGCCTCAACGCGTTAACACACGCGAAGGGCTCAAGACTGTGCCTGAGACCCCGCGGCCACCATCAGCGTTGGGCTGAGGTCCAGAGAGAGGGCCCCAGTGCCAAGGACCTTCGGGAAAACACCCAGGGCGTGGCTGCCAGCAGCTTCTGTGCTGGAGCCGTCCGGAGCCACACCCTGCCCTTCTCAGTGTCCTCGCTGAGGGCTGAGGGCGGGCTGTGGTTCCGTCTGTATTGTTAGCGGCACCCGCTCCTGAAGACAGGGCGGCGGCAGTGCCCAGGCCAGCCTGGCAGCGCCAGCACTGGGTTCTCCTCAAACTGTCCACCCACTTCGTGGGAGAAAGAATCGATGGCCCCTAGGAAGTGGTCCTCAGGGCCTGACCCTGAACTTCAGGACCCTGTAAATACCCCAGCTCCCCACTGGCGCCCGCAGGGTGCTGTCGGGGAGAAGGCAGGTAACGCTTTGAACCTCTCTGGGAAGGTACACGCCCCATTGAGTTGCTAGGTTGGAACCCCCGAAGGGCACAGAAAGGCTCACGAGGACCTGGCCTGCAGGGCTCCCAGTGACCTGTGCGTCCACTGCCCCTGCCCAGTGTCCTCTTGTGGCCACCCCATCGGGGGCTGTGCCCTGTGGATCCCTGAGCATGTGGCTCCCTCTCTGCCACAGGCAGTACATCAAGGCCTGCAAGACGGGCAACATGGACCAGGCCCTGTCCCTGTGGTTCCTCCTGGGCTGGATTGGCGGAGACTCCTGCAACCTTATCGGCTCTTTCCTGGCTGACCAGCTACCCCTTCAGGTGGGTTGGCCCCAGGCCGGGCTGGCGGGGCGAGGTACCTCGCAGGGCCATGGCAGAAACTTAGGGACCACAGCAGGGGAGGCCCGGGCTCCAGAATCCAGACCCTGCTGTTCCACCCTGCGAGGGCCCCACGCAGTAGAGAGCGCCCTGTGCCCCGCCATGCAGTGTGACAGTGGGCTGGTGCCTGCCCTTCTCTGGGCCTCAGTTTCCCCATCTGCAAAACGACCCCATCAAACCACAAGATCACTGGAGTGCCTCACCCCTGAGGCGCTATGGTCCTGACCGAGCTTGGGGTGGAGGAGGGGCCGGAGGAGGTAAGTTGTCCCTTGAGAGGCCTGGGTGTCATCATTCTGCTGTGGGTGGGCGGAGCTGGGATTCAGAATCGGGAATCCACTGTCTTCCCAAGGGGACTGTGAAGGCTCCTCTGCCTCTGTATCAGGCCAGCGCGGTGCCCACACTTGGCCTCCGGTCCGCTGTTGTCCTGACAAGTGGAACTAGGCACCATTTCCTCCATCCGCCCAGGCCAGACACATTACCTACCTGACCGCTAGTTCTTCCGGGTAGAAACTGTGCTCCCCCCTCCCAGATGAGCAGACAGAAGCTCAGAGAGGTGAAGTGACTCGCTCAGGGCCTCCCCTCCCCCCACGCCGGGATGAGCAAGCGCCGCCCGTTTTGCGCCCCCGCCCCCAGAGCCTGGGACTGAGCCAGTGCCCCCGCTTCTCTCGCAGACCTACACAGCGATGTACTACGTCTTGGCGGACCTGGTGATGCTGTCCCTGTACTTCTATTACAAGTTTAAGAACCGCCCCTCTCTGTGTGAGTATGCTAGTCCCTCAGTGTCAGGTGCACTAGGGGCAGCCGGGAGCAGGTGTCCCATGGCTGGGTGACAAGTCTTAGGAAGGGTTCCTCAGGCCTCATCTGAAAGCCTGAGCCCTGCTCGGCCTAGATGGAGGCCCAGGGGCAGTGAGCACATCCAGGCAGGACCTCAGGAGTTTCCTGCACTCAGGTTCTTATTCAGCAAACATGGCTCCAGCTTCCGCTCTATGCCTGGCCCTGGGCTCCGCGTTGGGGAGACAGCACAAGGCCGCAGGGTTCGGAAGGGGCTGTGGCCGAGGTCAGAGCGAGGTCAGGCTGGCTGAGGCCTGGCCCGAGGCACTGCTTTTGATGGACCCCTGGGCCCCACTGCCCTCACCGTACCAGTTTGCAGCCCCAGGAGAAGGATGCTACTATGGCACGCACCCTGCAGATGAGGGATTAAAGCTCAGAGAGCTTCGGTCGCTCGCCCAAGGTCTCAGAACTGCCAGAGGGCAATGCCGTGATTCCCGTCAGTCCCAGTCTGCCTGCTGCCACTCAGATGCCTGACTTGGGCTTCCCTCCCACTTCGCGTCCAGTGTCTGCCCCCATCAATTCCTTGCTCCTGTTCACCTGGGGACTAGTGTGCACCACCCCGCTGCTGAGCAGCGCTGGCTCCGTGGCTGCCCCGAGGGAGGTCTTCAGGGGGCGGAAGCTCCTGTCTGTGGAGCCAGGCAACAAGGTGAGGTGTGGGTATGTAACTGCGGGGGGGTGGGGGTGGCATCAAGGGCCCTCCCCTGCACGGCCACCTGGACGTGGGGATTGCCCTCTGGGAGGGAGCTTGGGGGCCTCACCCTGCACCTCCGTCCCCTACTAGCGCTGAGCACCCCCTTCTGCCCTCTCAGCCCTTCACTCGGCAGGAAATCATTGGTTTTGTCATCGGCTCTGTCTCCAGCGTGCTGTACCTGTTCTCCCGGCTGCCTCAGATCCGCACCAACGTGAGCCTTGAGCAGGGGCAGGGCGGAGCGGAAGAGAAGAGCCGGCCTGGCAGCTTGGGCCTCTGGGTTAAGGAGTAGCACGGTGGGCAGGGTCTGGGCCCGCGTTCACTGTTGGCTTGGGCAGCTTAATCCGGTTCTCCAAGCCTCAGTGTGTGCCTCTGGCAAATGAGCACATGCTGCCTGCCATGCAGGGGTCCGTGTCACCTGTGTGAGGTCAGGTGAGAGCGAGGGGCTGAGCGTGGAGGCCCAAGAGAAGAGGAGAAGGTGGGGAATCAGGGAGGGGGAGGGGGCGCTCGGGACTGGGCCTGGTGGGGCCAGCAGGCAGGGTGCAGACACGGTCTCCTGTGGCCCCGGGCGGGGGGCCTGGGAGAGGTGGCTGGAGTGGAATGGGTTGGTTCATGTGCCAGGCCCATGTCAGAGACGGGGCACACAGGGAAGAGCCAGCGGAGGACTACACACACAGTGTGACAGGGCAGAGGGACATGAGGACAGTCACATCCAGAGTGACCAGAACCCTGCTGAGGTCCCTGACCCCACCCCCTCTCACCTCCAGTTCCTGCGGAAGTCGACCCAGGGGATCTCCTACTCGCTCTTCGCCTTGGTGATGCTGGGGAACACGCTGTACGGGCTGAGCGTGCTGCTCAAAAACCCCGAGGTGGGCCAGAGCGAGGGCAGCTACCTGCTGCACCACCTGCCCTGGCTCGTGGGCAGCCTGGGCGTGCTGCTGCTCGACACCGTCGTATCCTTCAGGGTGTGCAGGGCGGGCGGGCGGGTGGGGTGCGCACGGTGGCCTCTGCCTACGCATGGCTTCCGCAGCCGTCCGTCCGTCCATCCATCCATCCATCCACCATCCATCATCCTTCCAGCTACCATTCATCATCCATCCCCCGTCCATCCCCCATCTATCCATCCCCCATCCGTCCATTCTCCATCCACACATCATACATTCACCCATCCACCCAGAGTCAAACCCATCTGCCATGCGTCCCACTGGGCACTGGATCCAGTGGTGAGCAAGAACAGGGTGGCTTTGCCTCAGGAAACGTGCAGCTCAGTGGGGAGGCAGACAGGATGCATGTAATTATAAGTAATTACTTACTTACAGTGACACCGAGTGCCACAGAGAACAACTGCAGGAGTATGTGACCAGGGGGCTGTCCTGGTTTAAAGGCTCAGTGGAGGCCTCGCGGTGCCATTTAAACTGTGCCTTTAAGGAGCAGTCAGTCAGGCAAAGGCGAGGGGGGTGTCCCCGCCCCACTGGTGCAAAGCCCCTGAGGAACAAGGGAAAATCAGGCCATGCAGGCCAGGGGAATGAAAGCCGGGAGGTGGAGGCGCATGAGTTAGAGTCGGAAAAACTCAGGTTCAAATTCCCGCTCCACTCGTTCACGGCTGTGTCAACACAAGAGGCCGAGACGCTGGGGCAACGATCGGCCTCTCTGTGCCTTCGCAGCTTCACCTGCGTGGTGGGTGGGGCTGGCAGTCACTGTGCCCCGAGATGGCCGGGCGGCTGCATAAGGTAAGGCGCCGGGAAGCACTGCACACGACCCAGCACGGTGAGTGCTCGGTGAATGTTTGCTAAATGGGGAGTCAGGGCCTTATTTGGACCTCGTGTGAGAGAAAGTAAGCAGAGCCTTTGTTTAAACACCTGCTGCACCCCTGCTGTGTGCAATGAGAGAGAAGATTAAGTTCACCTGAAATGAATATAAAATAATACTGAATATCCAGGAAAGGTTAAGCTCTAGTGCCTTCAAATGGCCACTCGGGGCACTTCCCAGGATCGGGTGGGGTGGGAGGAAGGCAAGATCACGGCTGGAGTCGGGGGCACTGCCTGAGGGAGGGAGGACCCCAGCGCTGACTTGGAAGGTGAGGTCAGGCCGGGGTAGAGGAGCCGGAGGGCGTTCAGAGTGGAAGGTGCGGCCAGAGCAGAGGCCAGGGGTCATGGCTGGCCCTCCCCACCTGCCAGAGTGGGGCTCAGAGGGAGGGAGCTGTGGATGGAGCTATAGGCCCCAGGGGCAGGGGCAGGTCCAGCCCGGTCCCTTCTCGGTTCGGCCTTGACGCTGGCCCCCCAGATCTCCATACAGTTCCTGGTGTACAGGGACGCCGCCGCCTCAGAGCGCCAGCCCCTCCTCCCAGGCTGACCCGGACCCAGGCCACGCCCAGGTGACCCGAACTTCCAGGTTCCGCTTCAGGAGAGGAGCAGTGCGGTCAGTCACGGTGCTGTGGACCCTGGACTCGGCTGTGGAGGCGGCGGGGGTGGGGGCCACACTCCCAAAGCCTCCAGGGCCTGCTCTTCCCGAAGCCAACTGACCGGCTCTCCCAGAGCAAGGCGGCCCCTAGGGCCAGGCTCTGCCCGCCCTGCCTGCCAGAGACTCAGCCCCATGCCCCCAGGGTCTGAGGCAGCCAGGACCTCCCCCCTGCGAAAACCTCCGCTCGCCTACCTCACTTGCCTCGGCTGGGCTGCCGGGGCAGGACGCGGCTGCGGCCGAGTGCCCGGGACTGTCCTGCGGCTGCAGCCAGTGCAGTAAATGGTCTTTCCGGGCGAGGCCTCTTCTGTGACTCCTTCCCAAGGCGCTGGGGTCTGGGCTGCTCTGGGTGGATGGACTTGGACCCGGGGCCCCCGCGTCCAGGGCCCAGGTGGGGACTGGAAGGGTCAGGCCGTGGTAGAGCCCAGCAGGAGGGGACTAAGGCTGCCAGCTGGCCTCCTGGTGGCCTCGTTTCTTCAACCTGCTTCTCTGCGACAGGCTCCATGCCTGGTGGTGGGGACACAACAGTGAGAATGACACTCCAACAGGGTCCCTGCCCCTCGGTGCTCAGGGGGAAGCAGAAGAGTTAAGGCTCAGATCATGGTTCTGCCTCTTAGCTGCTCTGTGCCTCAGTTACTTTATCCGTGAAATGGGATGACGATATTACCACTTCCTATGCCCATATGAGATGGCGTGATTAGGGAATTAGCCCACAAGTCTGGGACGGAGTAAGAGCTCAAAGTTAGCTTTGATAATTTTTAGTTGGAGGAGGAGGGCAACCAGATCTCCCTGGAGATCAGGGAGCCCTTCCTGGAGGAGGTGGCACAGCAGAAGGATGAGCAGGAGCTAATCAGGGGGGGAGGTGGGAGTGTGGCCAGCCCAAGGAAGGGAAGCAGCAAGAGCAGGGGACAAGGGACAGGAAGGCAGGGCTCCCACTGGGCCCCAACCTCCATTTGTCTCCCAGGCTCCGTTCTGCTTCCAGGTCCCAGGTGGGAACGACCCCGTGGGTGCCTGAGGTCAGGGGGGCGAGTGCCCCTGCGCCCTGGGCTGCTCCTGCCCCCACGCACCACTTCAGGTTCCCAGTGGCGGGAGCCAGCGAGGTGGATGGGGCAGGGGGAAGAAGCTGCCCCTCAGCCTTTCTTCTGGAACCTTCCTGTTCCAGCCCCTGGGAAAGCAAGGAGCAGGCAACGGCGACAGGGCCTCCCCAGGGCAGGGCGGTGGGGCCGGGAGGGGTGCCGCAGCTTCATTTGGGGCCACGAAGATTGCGGAGCACAGCCCTCCACACGCGGCCCAGGCCCAGGCTGTGCTGGAAGTCTGGGATGCAGGGAGCCACCTCTGGTCCCTGCCCTCAGGAAGGGGACTCTCCGGGGCCCTGGTGGGAAGGGGTGTGGCCAGGAGGTACAAAGTGCCATAGGAACGTGGAGACAACCAGGGAAGGCTTCGCCAGCAGTGGCCCTGGAGCTGCATCTTGAAGGCAGAGGGAAGGGAGTGTGCAGAGGCCTGGAGTGGGAGCCTGGGCTGCTCTCTGGCGGGGTTGTGGGGACGGGAAGACCAGGGAGGCGGCGCCCCTGAAGTTCGGGCGGGCAGTGAGGGCCAGTGCACCGCAGCCTGCCCTGCAGCTTGCCCGCGAAGCTGTGTGCGGGCTGGCAGTCAGCGGATGCTGCCGTTTCTTGAGCACTTGCCGAGTACGAGGCCGGGCTGTGGCCTCTCCTACATCCCCTGAAAGCCCCCGAGGTCGGTGCGATGCCGAGTTGAATTGAACAGAAGGAAAAACACGCTCTGAGGAGCTAAGCGACTTGCCCAGGGTCACGCAGCTTGGCCCGGCAGCTGTTTGAACCCTAGTAGGCCCCTGAGCTGCAGGCATCATCCCACACCTGGTGGGGGGGCCCAGGGGCCCAGCCTCAGCCTCCCCTGGGTGGGGGGCCAACCCTGCTGGGCAGGCCCCCTTCTCACCATCCCAGGCCTCTGGCCTGTCCCAGTGGAAGGTGCCCAGGCCCCAGCTGACTCAGGCACAGGCCTTGTTCAGATGCCCTTTACCAGCAGGCAGTCTGGCTCCACCGAGGGCTGTGACCTGGCTGGGTGCCTAGTTACCTGGTGCCAGGTGGCGCCCTCCCATCCTGAAGACCTGGGGCTCAGGAGTACGGCACGATCCCCTGAAGTAGGGCTGGGTGGGGAATAAAGATGAAATACCAGAGCCCCCTCCTGCCAGGAAACCCTCTGATGGGGTGGCACAACCCCTCCTCCTCCTGAAGCCCCAGTCGGAGGGGGAGACGCGGCCGCAGGCCTGGGGAGCACCCTATCTGGTGGAGAATGTGGTGGTGGTGGTGACGTCAGATGGGCTTGCAGGCTCATGACCCCGCACCCGGCATGCCGTAGGTGCCTGGCAAGTCAATGGTGGCCACCTTAGCCTCTCCGGTACCCGGCACCTCCCTGGGTTCCTCCCAGAAGCGAAGGGGGGTCCGATGGGTTCCACGGCACTGACTGGGCCGTGCTTGCAGGGGGCGGGGTTTCAGGTGGATTTCCTTTCTCCCCCGGGCTCACACCTCTTGCTCCTGGCTGCCGGCAGTGGGTGGTAGGTTGCTCTTTAGGTGTGGAGAGGGACAGGAACGGTTGGCAGGCAGGCGGCATTCCACAAAAAGAAGGAACGACCCAGCGGCCCATCCTCCGCACCCGGTCCCAGGCCCTCCCGGCCCAGGGCTCCCCGTGATAATTGAGCAAACCTGGGGGTTTTTGAAGCCTCAGCTTGGATGATCACTTGGCTTTCTGTTCCTAAAACCGAGAAAGGGGAGAAACCCACAATCAGCCCTCTCCTCACCCTCCTGTTGGACTGGCTTTCGTCGGAGCTGGATGGCGAGACCCTAGAGGTCCCTGGGCACAGCGAGGTGCTGAGTCCTACCCACCGCAGACGTCCCAGCGCTAACCCTGCCAGGCTAGCCTCAGCCCTAGGGTGGGAGTAGGCGTGGCCTCTTGCTTCGGACGAACTCAATTCAAGGAATACCGACCAGTCCCCCAGCCCTGAGGACACAGCCACCCCCTGGAGGTACAATGGTGACAAGTCTCCGCCTCCCCCCCCGCCCCCACCCTAGACAGTATGGGCAGAGGCTTCTGTCCCGGTCACCATCGTGTCCCCAGCACACAGTAGGTGCTAAGTAAGTGCTTGGTGAGGGAGCGAGTGGGTGAAGTGAGAGGCTGAATTACTGTCCTGCAGGGCACCCCTAGGGAGTGAAGGAGACAGGCGTGGTACCCACAAGCACGAGACTATTGAACTGGTACACTGTTTTCCTGTTCTTGAAATTACACACTTTAGTTGGGTAAATTGTCTACATGGGAATCACAGTTCAGTAAAGCTATCTGAAAGAAGATAAATTTGGCTATTATTAAAATTTGAGAAGTGTAGGTGATGAGAATGTATTACTGTCTTGCAACAGCTCGACTCACATAGTTGTTACAAAGTCACCTGAGTGCGGCACATGCATGAGGAGCTGGCGGTCGGTCAGGCGAGGGAGGTCAAGGGTTCATTCAGGAGACCAGCGATTTTCAGCCACCTTCATCTCACAGCGCACACGGACTAGTTTACTACCATTCTGTGACACACCAAAAAATGCATATATTTTTTGCCCATCTAACAAAAAGGTATGGTTTTTATTCATTTGCACCCAATGGCTATTGTGTTGGCTGTTGTCATTTTTTAAATGTGACAATCTAAGGGAAAAGAGGTCAGTGATCCCAATTAAATAGGTATTGCCCATTTTAAAAATTCTTGGGGCACATTGGTTGAAAATCGCTGCCCTGATACACAAATGTTTATGATCTATCTACCTATTCCACAGGGCATTTACCGAGCACCTGTCCAAGTTGAAAAGTTTCACAAAGCAGAAACAGCAATGAGGGTGTATGTTTATGAAGTACTATTTTTAAAGACAGAAAAGAACTAAAAGTAGAGAATAAAAATATTGTACCACATTTATTTCAGGAACTTAATTTCTTTATGAATTTGTATAAAATGTTTATATTCTCACTTTTGCTTTTAAAAAGCTAATTAAACAATCTGAGAAATGATATAAATTATAATGAAGCTTTTTAAACAACAAAACACCAACTGGTTATTAAAAAAAGTAACTTTAATAACTCTCCTGCTTCCTAAAGAATCGAAGTGAATTGCAAAATCAGTAACAAAGCTCTCAAAATATTTATAGGAAGCAGATGTTTTGATTGAAGTAACAATTTGAAAAGGTGTGATTAAACCTAGTTTTCAACAGATTTTACAAATTTTAGTTATATTAAGAAAATAATTATAAAATGAGATTTTTAACATTTAAATCCTAGAATATAGACTTTATAACATTTATTTAACTGAGTGTTTGGAATGAGGCATACTTTCTTGTATTAAAAGATTTGGCTATAGAGCCTTAAATAAAACACTTGCCAAGGAAAAGATTCCCTCGGCCCCCTGCTTCCTGTTGAGTGGGGGAGGCACGTCTGTCTCTGGCTTTGGGGGAGGGTTCAATGCCAATGCTGACCCCCAGGTGGCGCTCAACACAGGCGCGCGCGCTCCTCCCGTCCCTTGAGGGTCGGTCCACTCACTGGACACCAGGAGCAGAAGTGCGCTGGTAGGAGTGCGTCAGACTGCACTCCTCGTGGACCCGGAGGGCGAGCCAGTCTTCCAAGGCTCCTTTGCACCGTTTCCTTAGTCTCCCTTCCCGCCCCAGGAACGCTCGGGCCCCTGCCAGGGCCCCACTTTCCTTGGTGCAGAGAAAGGAGTGGCTGGGAGGCGGCCAGAGCCGAGTTACAAACACTCCTGTCGCCACTTGCTTCCAGCTGCCTCACCTTTAAGAAACCTGCCGTCAGGGCCCATTGTTCCCAACCTCACCACCCTCACTTAGCATCAAAGAATGAGTAGTGATGGCTCCCATGGAAGATTCTAGAAGGCAGAGTGAAAGCAGGCCTGGCACACACTCCAGTCACAATTTCTGGGTTGTGGGTGCGAGTTTTGCTCATGGGCTCAAACACCCGATTAAAGGGAAAATGGTTTATTCGGCACGTTCTGTGTGCCAGGCACTCTGCTAACACAGGTCCAAGAGACTGTCGCCCGTTGTCCACGCAAGGCAAGGCCCCGGGGTCCGCACCACCGGGGGTCCCGCAGCTGCGACAGGCAGAGCTAGAGGAGGCCAGGGCCTGCCTTCTCCTACCCCACCACCCCAACCGCCTCGGCACTTGAAGGGAACTGAGTGCAGGGGTTTCTATCTCAATGATGACATGCCCCATCTGGAACTTTCTTGTCAGACCTAGCAGAGAAAAGCCCGGACTGAGGGGTCGGCGGGCCCACGGGCTCAGCGCTCTGCGGAGCTGCGAGGCTCAGGCGCTTTCCCTCATCAGCTCCCTCCTGTCTGCAGGGGCTGTGGTGAATGAAGACGCCCCCTTGTGCTCACCATTACCAGCAGGTGTTTGCTAAGATGAAAGGGAAGCAGGGAGATTTGGAAGCACAGATGAGGGCGCTGGGGGCCTCCCACTACATGGCTGATGTGACTTCCAGTGGCCCCAGCGCTTCGGGGCAAGTGGGACTGGGGTCTTCATGGAGGGAGGGGCTGAGCACAGCAGCTCTGGGGCTCCGCGGAGACCCCTCTCGTCCCCCCCACCCGTCCCCGGGCCCCAACCAGTCCCACGCGCCCGCTGCCCTCCACCCGGCAGAGGCCTGCTACAGGTACCCGCCTGTGGGGGCCCGCACGACCAAGGCCGCCCGTGCCTGGAAAGCCAGGCCGGTGAGAAAGAACACAAGGCCGGTGCTAACTGTGTCCCAGTTTCTTTTTATTTCTTTTTTTGTTTTTTTCCTTTTTTTTTTTTAAGTATGGAAGCTCAAGTATAAGATGTAGATTTTTTTTTAAGCTTTACAAAAAAACAAAATAAAACAAAAACTCCTTTTGCATTCCATAAAAATTGACAGAAAAGCACCTGGCCAGAAGAGCAGAACGGTCAGCAGGCCCCACCCCCGCACCCCACAATGTGGTCTCCGTGGGACAGGGGCCAGGCTGTGTGGGACAATGCCGAGGGCCACCTCTCCTTCCTCCCAGAGCTGTCCCCTGCCCCCCCACCCCCAACCCCAAGCAACTCCCAAACACACGTGGAATCAGATTTCCAGTTTTTCTTCTATCTTTCACACACCACAGTTATTTCATAAAATTTTTTTGTTTTACATTTTTTACACCAATGTAACAAAAAGGTGGGAAGGAAGGGAAGGCAGACAGACAGTGTATTTTATGCCTATAAATGGGGGGCAGGGGCGGGGGCAAACAAAACACACACGGTCTCTATGGAAACATCAAGTTTTGATAGCAAAACGTGGTGGGAAGCAGGCCTTGGAGACGGAGAAGGGCGTTAGCGGCTTTATTCTCAGGGTGTGATGGCGCTGTGCAGGTCGGTGACGCGAGTTGTTGTGTGACCTGTTGGGGAGGGAAGGGACAAGGGAAGGGAGCAGAAAACGAGTTTCTAAGAAAGGAATCTAACGAGTGCATGGCATGTCCGGTTAGCGTGAAGCAGAGGTTTAACATTGCTGCTTTCTCTTCAAAGCCTCCACCAGGTCGTTCTTAAGAGCTTCTTGTTTTGATTTGTCAGCAAAAGTCTGCACAGACCTGCCAGAGAGGAAGAAAAGTGTTAGGAGTAGGCTCCGTGGGAGGCAGCGTGGCGGCGAGGGGCCGGGCCGCTGCGCTGGTGCCTGGCGGCCACACACTGCCCGTGGCGGGAGAGCGACCTCCTGGGGCGGGGCGGCTGGCAGCCACGTCCTCGTGTCCCCTCTCTGTGAGAGCAGCACTGGAGGGCGCGGAGGGCGCAGAGCCCGACCTCGCACCCTCAGCACCGCATCGGCACCACAGGGAGGCCCAGGCCACCAGGACAAATGCTCAGCTCTGCGCCAGGCGGGGGTCACCTGGCCGCAGCCATCAGAGCCCTAGTCCACTCCAGGCACAGGCCCCAGCGCAGCAAGCAGAGACCCTCTGTGCTTCAGACCCGCTGCTGACTCAGGTCAGGAGCCAAGAGGCAAAGGCTCTGGGCCGTGAGGACCCTGCCACAAAGCTTCCTCTCAGCACAGCCCGGCCCAGCACGAGGACGGGCGCACGGTGCCCCGCGCAGTGCGGGCTGAAGAACCAGCGCGCCTGGACACCTGAGCACGGGGGTTCCCGGCCAGGGCACAACACGCAGGACAGGTGCTTTTAGGCTTTGGCCATGAGGCTCCATCAGCTGTCAGCTTGGCCAAGAAGCTCCCTCAGCCTGGGTTTCAAGAGTCAGCATGGAACTGAGGTGAGTGGCCCTGGGTCCCTGCAGTCAAGTCCTGGATGTGTGGGGAACATTAACATGAGCACCTTTACATACAGCACTAACGCTGTTCGGCAAAGCTAACAGGTAACCTCTGTAGAGGTTCTACAGTTCACAAAGTGCTTTCCACACACCTCCCTCACAGGCATCCGGAGGAGTCTTAGCATTATCATCCCCCATTTATAGACAAGGAAACTGAGGCAATGGCCTGAAGGATCATTTTGTCAAATTTACCTGTGTTGGTTAACTAAGAACTTATCAATAGTTTTATTTATAAACTGTGACAGTTTCAAAACAGTGGAAAGAAAGGGCGGAAGTTGCATCTCAGGAACACTGTGGACGGCGTGCTCCACAGGAACCTTGAGTTCCATGTACACTGACCGTGGCACAGAATGCGAAGGCGGGGTCGAAAAGAGCCCCAAATGCTGGAAATGGGTGAAGCAAGACAAAGTAGGACCCAGGAGAAACCACAGCACCCCCAGGTGAATGCTGGACACTGAACCTTGGAAAAGTCACGGGAAGCATCCTCCACGTGGTGAGGAAGCGAACAGGACAGGCAAGATGTTGAAAGAATCTGTACACAACTGAAAAAATGCCCGCGAGGTGTGCCACCCTTTTTGGTTAATGACTTGCCCTGGCCCAGCCCTGCACGGACAAAGGAAGGTCAGACTGCAGCCACGGGGGCCTCAGGCCGCAGCCTCAGCCAGTCTCCCACGGGCTGGTGGAAAAGCTCACAACGGGAGGGCACCGGGACCAGCGGGGGTGCTAGGCAGCAGCCGAATCCCCAGCCTACAGGGTGGCCCACTCTCTGGGAAGCAGCAGCAGAACATGCCAGGCCCCACCCCCCAAGGGAGAAAGTTCCAGAGTTAGAATCAGGTGAGAGACAGGCGAGGCTTGGAATGCTGAGGTATAAGGAGCAGGGCACTCATTCAGGGGACAGGACTCAGGAAGGTCACGGCCAAGCCCCTCGACAGCACCTGGAGGGGGCACGAGCTCAGCGTGGGAGGCGGGGCCTGTCCCGGAGAGGTGGGCTGGGAGCCAGGCTGCCCTCAGCCGCAGCGGAAGCCTCCAGTGGGTGGCCACTGGGCACCCGGGCCAAGGACCCAGAAACCTCCAGACCCACCCTGAACGCTGAGGGGCAGGGAGAAAAGTGCACTATAGAGCACCTTGAACGGGTTCAGCGCCATGGCAGGAACACAGCGGTCCTCGCGCAAGGCTGGAGGCCAACGCTGCCTTGGGCCTGGAGCCGGTGCACACATAGCCCGGACCAACACGCTCATGTCCCACGGGCACAGAGGAGCCCACCCCCCGCTTAAATCCCACCGCGCCTCTCCTGGGCTGGGCCCTCAGACGCTGAAGTGAAAGCCAGCATCCCTCCTCCTCGCCAGGGATGGTGCTTTCCTCTTTGTCACGAGTTCAAGCCACATTTCCCAGCCACCATCAACAAGCAAGGCTGTTTTCCTTTCCGCCGGGTAAGGCGCTCAGGAGGACAGCTGCAGCTCGTGTCTGGCGGAAGGGGATCCCGGCCCAGGCAGCTCCGGCAGCAGCGGAGTGGGGTGTACCGCGCTCACCAGGGGGACCAGAGCCCCGACTCGGTGCTCTGCCCTCAGACTCAGAGCAACAAGCCCCTTTCAGTCAGCCAGCCCCAGACAGTCAATGTGCCACTGGAACGGGCTTATGTGGCTTCCAGGATCCTTGGTGGGGAAGTTGAGGAGGACCCTGCGCGCACACAGCAGATTCAGGAAGGCTGCCCTGAAGCAGGTAGATGAGCAGAAGGCAGGGCACGGACGCGGGCTCTGCGGCCAACAAAGCAGCGCAGACAAGAGGCTTCGGCTGCGGGCAGGGCTGGGCCCCGAGACGACACTTCCACAGGAGCCAGAGCCCAAACCTCTCGTCTGCCCCCACCCAACCCCCGCCCACAACACAGACACACCTCACACGTGACACGGGTCCGCGTGAATGTGGCTACACGTTAATGTGGCTGCTCACAGCCGTGAATGGACACAGGGGTTAGTGGTGGTTTAAGTGGCCACGCGGCAGCCGCCAAACCGGCGGGGTCTCAGCAGGTTGGTGAGTCCTGTTTAGTGGGGAGGGTGTGCGCCCTCTCAGGCAGGGTACCTGGATCGGCCTAATTATCAGGCTGGATGTGGATCTGCCGCTGGGTCAGCACTTGGGAAAGCTCCCTCTGCAACTGCTGAAACTTGGGGTTGTCAGGGATAACGTCAACAGATCTACAGAGAGCACGCAGAGGTGAATGCAGCAGGAGGGGGAGGACGGCACAGAGGGAGGGGCACGGGGCAGGGACAGCTGAGAGGAGACACAAGGGACACACAAGACAGAAGGAAGGAACGTCATCAAGGCCACTGCCGCTCTGGGCCGCAGTGTTCCGGGCTCGCCCCCTACAGCCCGCAGGCTCTCTGCGTTGGTGTGCCGGCCGGCCCCCGGGCTCAACAGCTGGCGGGCAGGCAAGAAGCCCACTGGGGCCCAGACCAAGTCCCCCACAGACAGGGTGAGAAACAGGAGAAGATGAGGGTCCGGAGGGGAATCCTCGCTATTTTGACACTGTATCAGTAGGACACTGAAGATCTGCTGGACATATTCACAAGCCAGGGCAGCCTCCAGCACTGCTTCCCACCTCTCCTTCTGGCCCAAAAGGAGAGACTGGCACCTGCAACGGGGGATTCGAGGGCTGGGAGCCAAGCGAGGGCAGAAGCCCTTGGACTCGTGTGGTGTGCTGGCCGCAGGCTACAGACTGCGCCCCATCCAGCCCCTTCAGCAGCCCTGCCTCCCTGGCCAGAGAGGGCCCCCGCCAGGAGCGCTCACCCGCAGTCACACAGCTCGGGGTAACAGGGCATGTGTGAGCTCCCAGCCTCCAAGGCCTCTCCTGCGTCCAGCAGGACTCTGGCCTCCCGCTCTGCCACCATGGACCCCAGGGACCCAGAGAGCCCGTCAGCCTTCACTCGGCCGACACTGGACACTGTGGAACCGAGGGCCTGGGGTGCGCAGGTCAGGAACCTGGCCAAAGCCAACAGAGCCCTGGCAGAGGACATCAAGGTGGCTGGGGACCCTTTCTAGAAAGCAGCAGGGTAAACGGCTCTTGCTGTGGGACACACTCTGCGACCCAGAAACCAGCCACCCGGGGCGGCCGGGCCGCCTGGCAGCCTGCACTCTGGCACGTCTTAGGGTCTGGTCTGGAGCTGCCTTCAGACCCCAGAGACAAAGGGGCTGGGCAGGCTCTTTAGATGAAACTGACTCCTGGGGGACAAAAGGAGGCCGGCGCCAGGGACAGGGCAGCGATGGCCGGTAAGGGGAACGTCCCCCGCATGACTAAAGTGGAGGTAGGAGCCGGCACCTCTGAGAGCGCAGAACATGTACAAGGTGCTTTACCTTCCAAAACCTGCATAATGATCCTGTAACATGAGTACTCTAGCTCCAGTTTACTAATGAGGGTAAACTGAGGTAAAAGGCCATATAGCTATTAAGCAGTAGATGTAGGGTTCAAATCCCTATCTTTTTAACTTCCAAAGCTTGTCCTTTGCAGTACATTACCTCAGCCCATTGACGATGTCCTTTGTTTTTCCAAAGTAGATCTCATTCAGCGTACTTCTGATTTTGTTTTCCATGTCCTGGGGAGGAAGGTCAGTCAGGTGTGATGGCAAACAGGCAGGTGTCCTGAGGCCCACCCTCCCGCCGGCTCACCCCTGCAGTCCCCGCGGTGGCCACAGGGGGGCGGCGCATGACTGCACTACAGCCCAGTGAGCAAGCCCCTGGTGGCAGCTTTCAGGTCCACAGGCACGGAGGAGGCCAGGACCTGGGCACTGGCTGTTCCTGGGAGCCGGTGGACACCACATCACCACCCCCAGCCTTCCACCCATTTTGTGGACAGTCCTGTGAAACTGGAGAGCAGCCCCCTTCTTCCGAGCAGCGTGGTGAGGAGAAAGCAGCGGCAACAGGGGCTTAGGGCTTCCTGAGCAGGGCCTTCTGGGGCTCCAGAGCTGTGCCCTGCTTGCACCCAGGTCAGAAAGCTCAGAAAAACACAAGGCCAGAGTGAAACGTGAGAAATGCACCCCTGGCTGCTAGGGAACTGGAAGAAGGAAGCAAGGGAGGAGGCCAGCAAACCGGAAAACAGGCTCTGGGGGTAAAACGTCAGCCGCTGCAGGTGCAACCCACAGCCGGGGGCGTGACCCAGAGCCCGGAGGCCCACTCACCTCTACCAGGCGCCCAATGTTGGCTATGTGTGGCGAGCTGTCACTCACGGTTTCGTCTTTCTCCATCTGCGAGAGACAAAGACATTCCTCCAAGTTGGAGAGAGCCAGGCCCTCCCTGAGAAAGGCCACCTTGGCCGACAGAAAAGAGCTCGTCATTCCTGCTGGCAGCTTCCGAACCAGCGGCAGGTGGCTCAGGGCTGCTTCCCTAGTGGGGGGCCCAAGCACAACAGGACCTCAGCGGCAGGTCATGAACTGCCCAGCCAGGAGAAGCCCGGGGTCCCCATTTCCAGGGACAGCCTTGTGCCGCTGCCCTTGGTGGAACCGACGCCCATCAAGCCCACAACGGGGCAAGGAAAGGTGACACACTAGTCAGGCACTGGCTCCTCCAGGGCCACCGGAGGAGACTCGCTCAGCCCACAACAGTAACGGAGGAAGGCACCGAGAGCCCTGGGGGCAAGCACCTAGGCTCAGAGAGGTGGTGAGGGCGGAGCGTGGGCCCAGCCCTTTCTTCCTTCAGAGCCTGACTTCGTCCAGCCCTGTGAGGCTGAGTGACGTGGGGGATTCGAGCAAGAGAAATGCGACGCAGATTCCTGGGGAATATCCTGGGGATGCCACAGAGGTGGTCTTGGGGGAAGTGGGACCGAGCAATTCAAGTCTCAGGCAGAGCCGGCTCTGGCCCAGGATCAAAACTGTGAGTATTAAAGGAAAGGAGGCAGGGAGGGAAGAAGGAATCGAGGATTCCTGCCATGAGCACTTACCATGGATTGTGGGTATCTTCCCACTTTCTTCCTATGGTTAAGGCTTATTTCCCTCACACGGTTATAAATTCCTTAAGGAGAGATTTACTGGTTTCATACCTCACAGGGTGCCTAGCAGACTGGCAAGCACATAAATGCTCACTGTTACAAAATTGAAAATGAGACAACATAGCTACCACTGCCACTGTAGCTGGAATAAAACGTGGAAGCTAAAATGGGTAACCAAGAAACAGAATGGAAACACAAGAACAGCATCAGGAAGACTAGAGCTCACAATAAACTCAGACTAGTAAAAAAAAAAAAAAAAAAAAAAAAAAAAGCAAGAAAAAGGCAGGGAGACTATCTTCAGAACCAGAAGGGGGCAGGGGTGCGTGTGTGCATGTGGCGCGCTGTGTGTGCTCAGAGGTCAGAGGCCTCTGCTGCTTCTCACCCGTCTTCCCTTTTCTTCTGGGGTCAGACAAACCTGATCCTCTGATAACAGCGATCCTTGGAACTTCACAGTGCACTTCAGAGGTGCCAGGACACTATAGCGGGCAGAGGCCAACCCCACTTCCATAACAGAAAGACAACGACTAGTTTGACACTGGTCCAGACAAGTTTTGAAGGGACTGTTAAAAACCATCTGTGGGCACGTTTTAAAATAAGACATCGTCTAGGAGCCAGCATGGGCTCACTAGTGTGAACAAGCTCCATCCCAGAACCTCTGATTTCCTATTCTGATGGGAACGTCGGCCTGGAAGAACAGAGAACACCTCTAGTATGATCGCAGCAAGCATGCAGGTTCCCGTCGAACATCCTGCAACCGTGGCTGAGGTGTGGAGCTTACACGATGGCCGCTCAGATGAGCCTCTGCCGACGGGGGTCGGACGCCACGTTCCCCGGGTGGCCTCTGTGGTATCCTGCAGGATTCTCTGCCTGGCCCGGGCCAACCTGTGCGTCCAGGATTTAGAGGAAGGCATAGACAGCCAAGAGGGTTCACTGACGTCCTACCACTGGCATCAGGGGTCGAGGTAATCAGAAGGGTCACTGCAGAACCCAGAAACACGGGCCAGCTACCAAACACAACAGCAACCATGTGTGGAGGGCTTCGCAGGGGGCAGCCACCTTGCCCCACTAAGTCCACACAAAAACCTATTTTACACCCAAGGATATTGAGGGTTAAAGATGTCAAAATTTGCCCAGATCCAGCAGCGTCAGACTCCAAGGACGTCGCCCTTCCTGCCTCAGTATGCTGATCACATGTACCTGGGCAAATGCAAACCAGATACTTTGGCTCAAACATTAGTCTCACTGACTATACAATGGGGGATAAGCCCAGTGAAGAGACTCGTGGTTTTTAGATTATTTCAAGCTTAACAAGACCCTGATGTGGCTGCAACAAAAGCTTCCCTGCAACTTCAGGTGCGCTGGTGACCACTACTGGTGCCCAGATCAGAAGCTGCAGCTGCGAGGCTCCAGGCCTCGCTTAGGAAGGCCGCCGTGCCCTCTGCTCTGTCCCGGCCCAGCGACCTCTGCAGGGCTGGATTCCATTTGGGACACTGGACTTTCAGAAAGCCATGTACAAGTTGGGAGTTCACCTGCTTAAAAGGTTTGAAGACTCTGACCCCAAGAAATGAGAAAGAACTGGGGATACACTTCAGGCTATCGGCTGACAGGCTATCCTACCAGCGGGCGGGGGAGCAGATCCAATCCATGAGGGAACATCACGGGACGACAGAGCCGCCTGTAACAGGCATCTGTTCATAAAGCACGGGGTGCCGCTGCCAGACACACTACAGGAGGGGCAGAGTGACAGTCTGGAACCTACGACCCCGCAAGGCTCTTCTAAAGCTAGGCGGCCAATCTGTGCAGAACGAAGATGCCAGGTGCCGGCCAGACTGCCTTGGTGAGGACTGGTCAAAGGAAAAGAGGAAGGGAGATGCCAGGCCGGCCAGCCGCTCTGCCCCGACACCGGGCCTTCCACAGTTCCGGGCACATCTGGCCGGCGATGCAGGGGGATGTGAACCCTCAGGGACTCTGAGGGCCACCACAAAACGGGCGAAGCGAGAGTGCTCAGACTCTTACAACTGAGAGCTACTCGTCGCCACTTCAGGTCTAACAAATACCCCAGTCCAGGCAAAGCCTAAGTGCTTGCTGGACATTCTCTGCCCCTAGCAAAACCCTGTGCCAAGACAACTGGAGTGAGTACATGCTGACCGGGGTTCAGGAGCACACTCCGGAGAAGGGATGGAACTGTCTGCCCACTTTAAAAAAAAAAAAGATTTTATGTATTTATTTTTAGAGAGGGGGAAGGGGAGGGAGAAAGAGAGGGAGAAAAACATGGATCAGTTGCCTCTCACATGCCCCCACCTGGGGACCTGGTCCGCAACCCAGGCACGTGCCCTGACCAGGAATCCCTGACCAGGAATCGAATCGGCAACCTTTCAGTTCACAGGCGGGTGCTCAAGCCACTGAGCCACACCAGCCGGGACTCTGTCTACCCACTTTTAAAAGGGATTTTTGGATGCCAACACCCTGGGACTGTGTGTCCCCTCCCCTACAGGGAACTAGTTTCCGATCAGACTGACTGCCGCTCAAAGAGCAGCTCCTCTAGGCATGGAGGGGCCTGGGGCGGGGGTGTGACCCAAAGTCTGTCCCATCACAAATCAGTGTCTCCCTCCCCAGTGCCAGGCAGGGCCAATTCCTGGCAACCCTGGGAAGTGATGAAGCTTAGCGCTCACCGAGGGCTCCATTTTAAATTCAGCACCAAGAGTGCAAAGTGAGGCCAGGACTGTTGGCAAAGGGTCCCCGGCCATCTTAAGTCAAGTCACATGACCAGCCCGACCTCTTGGAGAAGAAAGGCTGAAGCTGCTGGACACTCAAAGGTAAAACAGGTCGGGGAGGGGGAAGGGAACCTGAGCCCAAGGAAAAGGCCCAGCAGGGACCGTGGATGGAGGGAAGGTGGGCTGGGGGGCGGGCAGCAGGGCCTGGGCAAAGACGTGCGTCCACGGCCCCCTTGCTCACAGCCTTGCCAACCCCCTCGACACCTGGTCAGGCCAGCTTTCCGGCAATGCTGACCCACCAAAAATAGAACTATTTTTGCAATGCTTGTATTATTACATCCTTATGAAAGTGGCTGACAGAAGAAAACATTTTTACATGCTGTGGCTTGCACAGATGTTCCACAAGGTGATCCCAACCAAGCCTGAAGTCAGAGGCCAGTCAGCTTGTCCCTATCAAGCGGCCCTTCTCTGAGGCCTGGATATGGGAAGGACACGGGCGAGTATTTGGAAAGCAGGCTGTTTTCCTTAAAAGAGGCATCTGTCATCTCCCACCGCCCTGTGGGACTCTTCGGTGAGCACAACCCACCAGAGCAAGGCCCAGAAGGGAGCCAGGCCCAGCCCCATGGCTCCGCACCTGGAGGCCGGCAGGGCAAGGGCCTCAGCCTGTCTAGGCCTCCACTTCCTGGCCTCTGCCTGGTGCTTCATGAGCTGGCACATACACGACGCCCAGAACGGTGCCTGGCAGGACAGCGGCTTCATTCCCAGGACTTTCCGGTCCTGGCCCTTGGGCAGAAGCCAGATGTGTCTTCCTGGATACGGAGCTGTGCCCAGTGAGAGCTGGACCGAGGCCAGGACTGACCGCGCTGTCACGCCAGAAGACAGCGATCAGACAGTCTCTCAAGGAAGATTCAGTGTGCCTAGTTTTGGACAATCCTAACTGAACCTCAAACTGTGTATCATCTAGAAGAGGGAAAAGTCTCTGCTCGCAAGAAATATGGTGGCGGCAGTAGCAGCCATTTATTTACTGGCCATAAACCATGTGACAAAATGGTTTTGTACTTCTATTCTACAACAATCTTTCCAAACAGGCATGATTAGCTCCACGGTGAAAATGCTGATTTTCAAAGAAGGGATGTGATATGTCCAGGTCACATGGCTGATCTGCCCCAATGAAGGTCTGAGGTCTGGATGATTCTGAAACCTGTTTCTGCCAGACTGCTCTGCTTGCTTAATTCCATCCACGTTCTTTACCAGAAAAAAACAAACAAACAAAAACACCCCACAATCCAGGACTCAGAGATTCCAAGCAGTGTCCAGCCTGGTCTCGTCTGCCTCCCCCGTCCGCCTACCACCCTGGGATCTCTGGTCCCTTCTTCTCCTGTCAAGCTTCACAGTGGAGCAGTCGCAGGGAGGCAGCCTCAGGCCAGCCTTCCTTCCCTCCCAGGTGCAGGCCGCTCCCCGCGAGGCCGCCCAACCCCAGCAGCCACGCTGCCAGAGCACCCCACCGCTGAACGCGAGAGCTGGGCTGCAGCTGTGGCTGCGCACC